GAAAGTTTGCTGATGCAGCAAGGAGTCAGAGTTGTCCGGTCCCCTGGAGCTGGGTTTGCACTGGCTGGATTAGAACTGCTGCAGCTGCTGACTGGGGGTTACACTTTGGAGCTGCTGCCAGCTTTTCTCCCAGTGAGGTGGTCTGTAACAGCAGGGAGTTGGGCAGAGGACACACTGTGATTCAAGGATGTGGCTAACATTAGCCACATTAACTCGAAGCCTTAGCAAAAGGCTAACCTTTTAGCAACATTTGGCTTTAGCACCATTTTTGACACCATTTTAAACAGGAAAGCTCTAGCGGGAAATAGAGAGAGAGAGGGGGGATGACATGCGGCGAAGGGCAGGAGCTGGTACTGAACCCATAGGTGCTGTAGCAAGGACCTTTGGATATGAGGTGCTCACTAGCTCACCTGGTAGAGCAGGCACCCTATGTTTAAAGGCCATGTCCCTGCTACATGTCCTTGCTGCAGCAGCTGTGGGCTCAATTCTTACTCCCGTCTTTTGCTTCGCTTCGCTGTTATTGACACGTGCTTTATTTATTTTAACCGCAGACTCTCTTTTTGACAAGTCCCTCTTCCTTTTTTGGGTTGCTTTACAGTATAGGCAGTTGTTGCCAGTGCTGGAATAGCAACTTTCTCTGCAAGATTCTCCGCCACTGAATCAGGCTTTCATCAAAGAGACATGCACGCGCATCTGCATTTGTACAAAAGCCAATAGGAACGCCCCCTCTCTGAAATAACCTGTGATTGGCTTAAGTCTCCCATCATGGGCCAAATTTCTAAAGCCTGAAAACAGAGCCAAGCGGAGATGCAAAGACTAGATTTCTTTCAGTCCACTTGAATTACAATACGCTGAAGTTTATTATGGGATTTCTGCCCAATGATGCCAAAACGTAAAGGCCTACCCAAACTCTAAATCATATTTTCCAGCTTTTTACTTGTGATGATTTTCTGCATATCTTTCTGATAGCACAAAAAAAAGAAGAAAAAGTCCTTGGGCTTTGAACTGTTAGCAAAACAAGCAATTTACAGATGCCACCTTGGGTAAATTGTGACTGCCATTTTTCACTGTTTTCTGACAACAGACCAAATGATAAGTCAAGTTAATTAATTGATGATAACAATAATTGAGTTACTTTGTGTACAGAGATAAAAACAAATTATTGTTCTACATGGATGATACACAAAACTGCTCATGTATGAGACATTTAAGAAGAAAGCCTAAAGGATAAGGAAGTAAGGTCCTCAGGATTAATTTTATTCTTGTAGCATTACTTTTCTTGCTTTCTGCCATTAGGTGTACAATTATTAAAAGATGTCCTCATAAATATAGGTAATTACAAAGTATGTACAGGTGCAGGTAACTGATATATTGTGATGACTTGTAATTGTTGGCCAAATGTTTAGGATGACATAAAACAAACTATTTATTTATGTGCTACAATATGAACGCCTCTTTCCTCTTTCAGACTCAACTCCAGTAAAGCCAAAGTTACAGAATCTCATTTGAGAGCTGTCTAATCCCCCCAGCTACAGTACAGTACTGCATATCAGATTTAATTTAGCATGAACAATAAAGTCATGGTGACAGTTATTAATGATTTTATTCAGAATGTAAAGCACTCGCCTTTCATCCTCACTTGCCCACAGCAAAGTTTCGAATGGACTTTAACCCTCTTTCTCTCTCTCTCTCTTTCTCTCTCCACGATAAGTGCCCTCTCATCACTTTCTCTCGTTATTGTACCGTCGGACGTGATCTAATGAGCCGCTGAAGTAGGGCACACACCACCCACTCTCCAAACTGATAAACACTGCTCAGTCCTGTACAAGTTGTGTCGGCCATTCACAGTGCGGTTTTAGATATCTGTTCCTCTTTGTGCACAGAGCAGGAAAACTTCTGAGAGTACATGTACATGCCTGGTTTTGATCATTTTCTAGATACATGGCAAATGAGAAACTTATTCATGTCCCTGTACGCATGATCATTAGAGTATCCACGTTTCTGATGGTCCGCCTGCAGGTGGGTCTTTGATTTCTGAACATCTCAGGCTTTTATTTCTGTGCCAACTGAGTTGCTTCAACAGTTGATGAACATAGTTTGAACATAGTTTGTGTTGAATGTAGCTTTTCCATCTCGTCATTAAAAATAGAAAATAAGCGATGATACAACTTACTGTATTATCTGCGTTTCTTAAGTCGGACTTTGCCTTTATTTTAGCATCTGTATCATTATTTACCATCATATTTTGAGTTATTCTGACAAAGAACTACATAGCTTTAGGTGATGGTGCACCTGCAGACACAGCAAAGAATGGTCAGAACCCCGGATGAGATGTGTACATGCCACAGTGCAACAATTAGTCAGAAAAAAAAATCTGCAGCTTTTCTGATAAGCAACTAATTGTTAAAGTAATATTTTAGAAAAAAGCCCAGAAAATTGCTGTTGTCAGGCTCTCAAATATAAATATTTCCTGCTTTTAAACAGTTGGTTGAGAAGGAGAGACATTTGAAGGGCTGAGGAACCCAGGATGGACATTTTATGGACTATACTATTCATGAAGCAAAACAATCTGCAGATCAATCGATAATGAAAATATTTTGTAGTTGCTTTACTGTGTTCATTGTGTGTACTTCCTAAAGGTCATTTACGCTAAGAGGTACATTTAGCAGCTTTCCACATTCAGGCTTTCTCTCTGAGGAACTTCCTTTTCATCCTCTTCTTTTTTGGCTCCCCCAGACCATTTCAGGCCATCTGGACGTATCACAGTGGGTGCAGGGATACACAGCCAACTCTTTTTTTTTTTTAAGTATACATGTCGGCAGAGCAGGGACCTCTATCTGTGAGGGAAGTGAAAAACAGAGCACGGCAGTCAAGGCGAGGTCAAAGAGCAGAGGGCAAAGATGCAGAAAAGAGAGGCAGGAGGAGAAACAGCGACAAGGGAGGAGGCACTCTGCAATCCGTTGCCTGGCAACAAAGCATCATACAGTGCTATTGTGTTGGGGGGTAAAAAAGGAAAGGGGGATGTGAAGAGGAATAGATTGAAGGGGGCTTTGAGGATGTTCACAAAAGTGAGAAAAAGGTGGCAAATCACTCATTACTGGTGCTGAGATATCTAAATAACTGCACTTATATTGGCTTTACATTGCTGCAGCAGAGCAGACACTGCTCTTCAGTATTGGCTGCACTGTTACAGGTCTAAGGACATGTAAACCTTGACCCGACACTGAGAGGGCTGCAGCCTACACACATCCAGGGATTTGCAAAGAAAAAAATCATGAACCATTTACCAGCCAAATATTGCAAATTTCTCAGGGCTGTCCTGAATATCAGATTTGGGCATCAAACCTTCAGTGAGAAATATCTGCAGTTACTTTAAGCTTTCAGGGGCGATGCATCTAAAATGATGTGACAGTTATCCACTTTGTTAGCATGCAGGTCGTAGAAACATTAGCTGTAATAGCTGGAAAAATAGAATACTTTACAGGATGGCTAAGCAGTTACCCACCGTCACCCCAAGATATTTGCGAGTTTATCACTCGACATTTTAGAGGTCATCTTCCCAAATTTTGAAACTATTCCAGATGCTTGACTCTTTCGATATCTCTCTAGCTTATCACCTGTCAAAGTGTCCCAGTTTCAGTGACGCTGGACTGATCATGACTAACGTTAGATAAGAGCAAGTGTGAGTCACAAAACATGCTAATACATAGGATTTTGAGGCTAACGTGTGTGTATATATATATATATAAAAAAATATAAAACCTACCATGGCATCGCTCGAAGCTTCGAAGCATTTGGGTCAGCCTGAATTTCAATACAACAAACTGACCCACTTCTGCTGCTAAAATTAATGTTTTGACTCGTCTCCTAAGATGCATGTAGGGAACATTTCATTTTAAAACAAAATCCATCCCTGTACACATGAGCGTTTGTAGCACTGTTTCAGAGCATGACCGTTCACGTATACTGGGCATGCAAATGTCTGTGTAAACAGGATGCAGATCTACTCTATTCTGCTATTTGTTCCTTAGTTATAGAAAATGCTACGCAGATGGTGAAAACGGTGACGTGGAACTGTGTCATGAGTATAACATGAGTATAAGGTGGTCAAGGTGGCAGAAAACAGATTTTGAGTCATTACTGCGACGTATTAGAGCAATACTGGGTGCATTATGCATCAGCAGAGCAAGCCATAGCAATGGGAAATAGTACCCACAAAAGAAGGATGAAATTATGTTGACCCGACTTACAATGTTTTTTGCCTTGACACATCATGACTGACAAGATCAGTTGGGAAATAGTATGAATATCTGTGTCATCGTTTTCAAAAACCTCCATTTCCACCCATCCACACTAAAATGGGGTCAAATAAACAAAAACATAGTACTAAATCATGGAGTCACATATGGAGTTTACAAATAGCTGCAGTATCACCTAAATCTCATTCAGCTTTCTGCAAAAAAAAAAAAAAGCCAATAAGCGTACAGTATATCCCAAATGTCGAACCATTTCTTTAAGTTGTGTGTACTTACAGAGGATACATTGTGTTCTCACTCTTCCACTATCATTAGCTGTCCCATTTCACTCTCATAATGTCTCCTCCAATGCTGTAGTAGAGAGAGGTGAGTCAGCAACAGACAGATAATTGTGGCGATAAGTGGAGGGTGGCAGATGTGAGAAAGAAAAAAAAATCGGTGAAGGGGGTGTTGGTGGAGTCATCACAAAGACTTGAGTAATTATTGATGATTAAAGGAGTGTGGAGAGACGTTGGTAATCTGCTGAGGACAGATACTGTACGTTTGAGGTAGGACTCATGCTGCTGTTGTCACATGAAGCTGATGTGTCCGCCGTGGTTCCTCTTTTTGTCGTCCGTGATGATAGCTGGCTCTAATGTATTTATGACCTGCTTATTACTGTCTGCCACAAGTCATGGTTTGTCACATGTCTAATTTTAAACATGTCTCTCTTTCTCTCTCTGTCTCTCTCTGTCTCCCTCTCAGCTAATTTCCAGTGACGCAGATGGGGCCATTCAGAGGGCAGGACGCTTCAGGGTGGAGAATGGCTCGTCAGATGAGGTCCATACAATATAATACACTTTTGTGCACACAGGCATCCCACCCGTCCACTCACCCCTACATGTGTCTTGCTCTCACTAACCTTAGTAAAAGGACAAAATATCGAAAGGGGTGGTCATTTTTGAGGCCACAGAGTTGCCTTGGAGATGGTCAGAGATGAAGACACATTATTATTAAATTATACTTAATTTACTGTCACATAAAGGAATAGTTTGACATTTGGGATATATTCTTGCTGAGAATTAGATTAGAGGATTCTATTACTCTCATGTGTGTACACTAAATATGAAGCTACAGCCAGGAGACAATTAAGCCCCGTTTCCACAGAGCATGTACGGTACAGTACAGTTCAGATCGGAACGCTTTTTTTCGTTTCCACTGTGAAAAGTTGTGTTGCAGAACATTGTCCCTGTAGATTCTGTGGACGATAAATGAGGTGCAGACTGATAAAGGAGGAAATACAGCGAGTGCTTTAAGGGTACTGTTTGCGGTGAAAACGTTAAGCAGACCTAGAGTCTAGGTATACCATGTCTGAAGGGTTACTTTTGGTTCCAAAGGTACCATACCAAAAGTGTTTGGTGGAAACGGGGCTTTTGCTCAGGTCCAGCGGGAAATGACAAGCACGGCTCTGTCCAAATATCTGCCTATCAGCACCTCTAAAGCTCACTTATTAACATGTTATCTTGTTCATTTAATTTGTACGAAAAAAAAGCATGGGAGGTTAGGGACTGGAACTATTATTCTCAAGGTGACAGGTGATAAGGTGAACACCTGCCAGCTCATATTTATAACACAGACACAAGAGTGGTAATGTTCCTCACAAGATTCTCAGCACAAAAGCAACTAAGCATGTTTCCCAAAATGTTGAATTATTCCATGTACAGCTGCCTTTGTGATCAACAAGACCTACTTATTGAAGTGGCTCCCAAACCAGGGGTTAGGACCTGTCTAAGAGGGTCAAAAGTTATATCTGAGGGGCCACAAGATGATTAATGGAATAGAAACAGAAGAAAAAACATTAACCTGCTATGTGCATTTGGGTTTGTTCTTCTGACTTTTTCCCATTGTTGCTTTTTAATTGTAATACGGAAGAGTTTACTTTTTTGTGGTTGCTAAAATTGATTTAGTTAAAAGCAATCTGAGACATTTTGAGGCGAACATCTGTATTGTGCTCACAACACATAGACATATGCTACCTGTGATGAAAGGTCACACTGCTTCAGTTTAAGGGGTCACAACAAAAAGGTTGGGAGCCACTGGCTCAAAAATATTAATTTATATGGAAGAAAAAATCTGAAAAATTAGCAAAGTGAGATAACATTCACAGGTACTATCGCTAACTGAAAGGCACTTGTTTTTTATCTAACTAAAAATGGAAGGAGTCTGTCACTTGGGGGTGGGGGGGGGGGTATTCATGAGGTGTCAGGGAAGTGCAGCATTGAGTGCAAGGTCTTAAGTAACATCTATGGGACATATTATAAGTAGTGCATTATGGAGACACTGTGTGGTGTTTTCAGGGGGCCCCTATTAACTGTTACAACTTAACTTTTTCTAACTTGACAGAATGCGAATGTGGGAATGTGCAAATGAGGGAACATCAGATTGTCTCAGCTTTTCCAGGAGAAGGTGTCAGAATACAGACTTAGTGATAATTCAGTTTTACTGGTAAAAATGATATACAGCATAAAGATATATAGTTATATACAAGATATGCAGGCTTTATATATAGTCTATGGTCAAAATCAACACTGACTCAAGAAAATGATGTTAGTTAAAGGAGCTATATGTAAGAAATCTAAAGCAAATAGTCGTAAAATCATCCTAATATGTCACAGAGTCTAAGGAATAATGTTCATATAACATACTGATCTCACCGACAACAATAGTACAGCCAGAATATTTGCATCTAAAAAAATTTTTTGCAGTCTGCAAATCATGTTTATGTTTTGAATTTGTGTTTTGGCCTGTTGAGCCACCCACCGCGGTCTACAAGTCACACAGTCAGTAGAGTCTCAGCATCAGTTACAGTTACGACTGAGCTACAGCAGCACGGCAAGCAGCATTAGCAGTGTCCCAGTACATAGCATTAGCAGCCGGCTCCTCCTCAGCTGTATCCCGGCAGCAGCGTTAGCAGCAGAGAAGCCGGACTTGCTCAAACGGTCCGCTGGAAAACCGAAGATCAAGGACATGGCGATGCAGCCCTGCCATGGCAGCCGCCCATGGGAAAACAAAGCAGTCTCCAGCGTGCTGCTGTCCAGCAACCTCAAATCTGTAGGAATTTGAGTGCAGTAACCGTTTTAGCCACATTCTTACATACAGCGCCTTTAAGAATAAATAATGTAGACACTCAAAAAAAAAAAAAAAAAAAAAACCATCACATCCCCTCCTCATGCTGCAATGTTGCTCATATACCTGAGCAATTTTTCAGGCTCCATTCATGAGAGTTTACTTGCTCGCTGTATGTCAGAGGAGGTGTTACACTGCCGCAGCATGTTAGGCACAGCTCGCTCTCCGTCGCTCAGTGCAGTCCAGATGCAGAATCAGAGACTGGAGATGTTACACTGTAGCAAACACAAACATTTCAAGCATCAGGGATGAAATGGATTGAAACCTTTTGTCCCTGCATAGCCTGGTCCCATATAGCTAGCTATTAGCAAATGTTGTTTATACTCTTGCATTGCTAGGGGAGGCAACTGTGAGAGCAGGTGTATTGTTCAAGACCCAGGAAGAGCAGTGTGGAGCACAAGAAGCGCAGCAATACCACAGGCCAAGCAATAGGCCTCCTTCTAAACAGGCACTGCACTAGTTCTTGATAAATGCACCAATACAGGTATATATAGGTATATATACCCTAGAAGAATCAACTTATTCTTGAATTACGATGGGAAATCAAGTTGTCCATCAGTCATCTTCATCACCAGATCTCCTGATTTAATTGTCCCAACTTACTATAGACACGTTGACATCCAACTTCCTGTCTTACATCCTTAAAGTCATATTACTTGATTACAAAAGCATTATATCTTTCTGCTCATACACTTTTGGTCTTCTGTAAACTAACAAACAATTTCAGCATGTCACACTCAATGCAGTTTTAATTTTTCCTTGAACTGTTAATTGTCTCTGTTGCTTTTTATTTTGCTGCTTCAAAAATGCAGTTGCAGTGTTTGTAATTCACTCCCCTGCTTTTGTCTCGCATCCTGGTATGGATTATTTCCATCATGATGAAACAATAACAGTAAAAAGACTAAGTGTAACTCACTATGCCTGCGCTTTGGCTGTATCTGATTTCCTGACCCGTATTTTAATCATTACTGCTGCATTGTGTAACAGTTTTCCACAGAGAAGACCGCTGTGACTCAAGCTGTGGCCATCACGATGACAATGTGTGTGTGCATTTGTATGTGTGTGTGTGTATATGCGTGTTACAAACAGGCTTTGGACTACACGCCGGGAACCTGGAGGAGAACCGATGTCCATCTGGAGAATCCAGAGTACCACACCAGATGGTTCTTTAAATACTTCCTGGGAAAAGGTCAGCGCTGCTCTGTTGTGCTATGTTTAAAACACATGGTGTAAGTGTGAGATAGAGAGGGAAATACAGAGGGTGAGGGTGAGGGCTAGCCTATGAGCTGCAGAAATAAAACATCCTCTGAATATCCTCCCTGGTCTGCAGGATGCTTCTTATCTTGCGAAGTCAGTCTTGTCCTCGCGCTGCACTGCTCTTCATTCAAGGCCAAAACTTGTTAGCATCCAGCCATATCCCCACTGAGAGTCTCAACCACACTTTAATCCCATACACCACCCAAGGAGGAAGCCCACAGAGGACATACAGCTTCAGCAACACTAGACAGAGCTCGCCTCCAACAGATAACACAATTAAGATCGGACTGCTGGCTTCTGCAATGAGCCCGGTGCTTTGCAGCCGGCTAGCAGGAGCCATTCTTCTCTGTGATTGTTAAAAAATGCATTAGAAGTGGTAACCTGCCCCTTCACCTCTGTGACCCTCATCATCTCGCCATCCTCATTAACAGCATGCCTGTCCTCAGGTTCACAGTGTAGGTGACACAGAAAATTGCACAACAAAAGATCATTGTCCAGGTTTCTTTAACGCGATTCGAAGCAGGGGGAATGCCTTCAGCTTCTGAGGCTGAGATAAAGGACGGAGCCCGAGATGGATGGAGATAATTGTGAGGGAAAGTTGGACAACAAGAAATGCCTTTCCTCCTCCAGCCAGGGTCTAATCATGCTATGGCATGGGCAGTTTAAAACAAGCCACGTCTCCAGAAAGTTGGCTCAACCTGTTTGGACTGCAGCTGAGCCATCTGTGTCTCACAGCCTGAGCAGAGCCGACTGCATCGTACAACACAACACATTATGAACTCTAGGCCAGCTATTGTAACACAGGCACTTCCTGTCTAATGAAGCATCCAATACAGATACTTGAATTCTCGATTTCTTGATGATTGGGTGAGGAATAGTAAAACAGTTTGACCTAATTTGTGTCCCTGTTGTCTCACATTAGATTCCCAATTCCCAAATGATTACAATGAGTTTTTCCTCACACAAAGAAAAAGCTCCTGCTGCCTAAACCAATAAGTACATAATTGCAGCCCAACCTTGCAAAATTGTCACTCACCTGAAGCATAAAAACACGGCTAAAGGAGAACGATGAAATCTAAAAAAAAACAAACAAATGGAGATGTGAAGTGAAATTGTGGAATAAAGAAGGCATCTGAGGAGGACAAAGAAACGGCAATGCAGGCAAAGATCTTGTGTCTAATTGGATTTAGAGGTCTGTTCAGCATTGTTTCCGAAGATGTTACCCTGTCAACCGAAGAAGCAGAGGCATGAATGCTGTGGAGATCTTTGTCTGTGCCCATGTCACACAACGAGAAAGCTAGTGATGGACGTGGGGGAAACTGAAAAGGGACACAGGAAATAATGAATGAACAGGTAGAGAGGAGGACAAAAAGGCAGAGAAAGACAGGCCAAGACAGTGAGGGTTAAAAGGGAGCATGGAATACCTTTAATGTTTTGGTGTCAGAGGAAGAAAGAAAAAAAAATCTACCTAAATGAGTAAAACTAAACATCAGTTTTCTAATCACTCTGTGTGCATGTATAATTGTATCTGTATATTGTCTCTGTCTCCCTCAGTCCATCAGAACTATGTGGGTACAGACGCAGAGAAGAATCCCTTCTACCTGTCAGTCGTCCTCTCAGACCAGAACAACCAGCGGGTTCCTCAGTACAGAGCCATCCTCTGGAGAAAGACGGTGAGTTCACCATCTGCACTACTTACAGCAGTGGTGGAGCGAGTACTCAGATCCTTTACGTAGAAGTTGCAGCACAACAATAAAAAAATACTCCATTACAAGTAGTAGTCCTGAGTTTTTGACATCTAATGAAGCAGTTTTTTTAATCTTCTGTTTGTGCACACAAGGATACATGAAGCGGCCACCAGGGCTAAAAAAAAATGAAGCTAACACTAAAATGCCAAAAACTGCAGTTCCTCTAATGACCACTTGAGGCTGGCTCCAAAAGCCAGTCAGTCCTCATAGACCCACATGTTAAAATGCCCAACTTTACAGCAGAAATCAGTGTGTTTACAGCCTGGTACAAACAACAGTTTGAGGTCTCTACAGCTAATTTCAACATTCATGACAACTGTACAGGGGTGAATTATAAATCGCCTGTTTATGCACATTTTAGGGTGTGGCTGCTTCGAGCAGCAGGTTGTCTGCAAGGCATCACCTCAGCTCAGATTCACCTCTCACTTCCTCACAGCTCCACCCTCTTGTCCAAATATGGTCACCTCGGGTCAGTGCTGGCTCTAATAATCCAAGACGGCAATGGCCAAGTACTAAAGTCGAGGCTTCAAGACAGCAGCCTTCAAATCAATAGTTTTTTGGTATGAATTCCAAACATTTCCCTTTCACACGTGTAGCACTCGTCTCTGTTGGACGTGTTCTCACCTACTAAAAATACTCTGTTTGGTTTAGGCAAAAGGTGGTGCCTGGGTAGAGTGTGCAGAATGCAGAAGATGACATGGATTACACTGCTGTCTCATAGCCAGTTTGTGAGTTAGTCCCAGAATCTCTTGCTGCTCCTTGAGTTTGTCTGATGATTTTGGCATCAGCCCTTATTGACAGAAGTTCTCGAATCTTGTCATCTCTCCATTTAGACATTTTCATTGCTGTCTTTATGTAGATGACCCTTCTTCTTCTTCTTCTCTCAGATGTTTGTTTTCTTCCTGTTTTCCGGCATCTGCATGACAGAAACATCATCCACGCGCCCAATTACTCTGATGCTCTACTCACACATGGGCTCAGACATCTGACATTGCAGGGACTTTGTGCTTATAGGGACTTTGCTGGCAGGATGAAGTCAGTTTAATTTCTGAACCAACTGATTCGGACATTTGTGTTCTCTGGATAATGTATAGATAATTTCAGGTTTGCAGTGCATGAGACACATGCAAAAAGGCAGGGAAGACATTTGTTACACCTCAAGGATACACACAGTGCATTTTATGTATGTAGACATAACTTTTGTTTGTTTATCAGAAAACACCTTTAAATACAAATACAGGGAGTAGTAGCAAAATGTGCAATATTTCCCTCTGAAATGTAGTGGAGTAGAGGTATAAAGTAGCATAAAATGAAATAAATGAAATACAAGTACCTCATTACTGTACTGAATGTACTTAGTTCCCACCACTGCCTCACAGCATCTTCAACAGGAGCTTAACTGTTAACATTTTCGACTGGAGTCCACAGTAGCAGGTGGAACTTTTTCAACGTCTAAATATAAGATGGTACAAAATGGCATCTTGAGTGACTATGATGCTCCACTTTTAAGATTGTGTAGGTGTGTGTGAGTGTAAGATGCATATTCATTGTTGTGTGTTTGTAGTGTGGTGACTCAGCTGCATGACCAGGATAGCTTGGATTTAATTTTGGCCTACAGCCTCATCTGGAACCTGATTAGGGTGGTGCACCTCCGCTGCCTGATCACATCGATTTGTCTTGTTTCTGTCAGACTCTAACTGGTACAGGATGTTGTTGTTGTTGTTGTTGTTGTTGAGCAGAACAACTTTGTCTGGCTTGAACTGCTCCGGTTTAATTTGTTCCTCTGTAATTATTCTATGACTGATTAAAAAAGATGCTGTGTGCTGTGAATTTCTTTTGGGATAATATCGTTTGCAGGATGTTCTTTTTATAAATGTGCAACAGGTTTGAGCAAGTGTCTCCTCGGAGAAAAGAGTTTGCAATCCCTGATCTGTGTCTTGTTTGCTCAGGGCACTCTGAAGATCAGCCTGCCCTACAGCCCGACCAAAACACTATCAGTCAAGTCCATCCTAAGGTGAGCGGTGCAGCCTGGAGCTCTAAGACAGCACAGTTCAGTCTTGACAATACATGTATGAGAATTAATATTGTGGGTTATCTCATGCTGCTGCTGAGACATAAAGACTTGATGTGACCAACAGCAAATCAAAGCCACAAATCCCCCCCAGTTGCCATCATACTGTTATGGCACCATTTTCATGTCCAGTCCACACAAATACACACACACAAAATATTCTGATAGTATATATATGTTACACAGTGTTTACTGCTATGTTGGTGCAAGCATATTTGCCACTAAGATGCTTGTGTGAAAACAAAATATCATTGTACATTTATAAAGATATTAAGGAAATTATACTTTTTTAAAAAAAAGTGACAGTTCACCCCAGAATCACAACCACATATTTTTACTCTCACCTGTCTCACATGTCTGCCTTCTCTCCAATATAATAGAACTAGATGGCACTCAGCATGTGGTGCTCAAAGCACCAAAAATACATTTGAAACACTCAACAGCAATGACTCTTTCCAGAAATCATGACCTGGTTACTGAAGATAATCAACAGACATTGTTGTGAGCAGTTTCATCTAGGAACCATTTCTTATACGGAACCGTACCACTGCACAGAAGGAAGGATGCCCACCTAGCATCAGTGAGCTAGCTAATGTACCAGCTTAGCCAAGGACAACTTGTTGACTGCCTCTCGTCCATGAGTAGATGCATACTTACTTGGGAGCTGTTTGGAAGAAAGAAAATATTTCCCACATGAAACTGCTCACAACAAGGTCTGTGGATTATCTTGAGTAACCGGGTCATGATATCTAGAGAGAGACATTGCTGTTGAGCTGTTTTATGCCTCCTTGCCCGCGGTAGCCTTGACCAGATGCATTATGTCCATCCCATTCTTGTGAACGCGATATCTCAAGATCACCTTGAGTGAATTTCCTAAAATTTGACACAAATGTCCACATGGACTAAAGAATAAACTAATTAGAATTTGGTGGTTGAAGGTCAAAGGTCAAGGTCAGTGTGACCATGTTTTTGGCCATAACTCAAGAATTCTTACGCTGATTATGACAAAATTTCACACAAATGTCCAATAGGATAAAAAGATGAAGTGATGACATTTTATATCCAAAGGGTCAAGGCCAACTTCACTGTGACATCATAATATTCTGCATAAAACACTTTTCCGATGATTACTCAATGTCATATCTCAGAAACAGAAGGCGAAACATTTGGTCAGACACTGAATTGGTGACGCTGATCTTGAAACTGTGCTGATTGTATAGATCTTCTGTCCTGCTGGGGGGAAGTATGTGTGAAGCATCATGTCTTTACAGACATGGATGTAAACTGTAAGAGAAATTTGACTGGTGCACAGAGGCATACAAACACAGGGCGGTAATTCTAGTTTAAATGTATTTTTCTTTTGTTGCTTTGAGCACCACAAGCTGAGTGCAATCTAGGTCCATTATATTTGAAAGAAAGCAGACAGCTCTACGGCCAATATCTCCAACAGTCGGCAACTCACACCAAAATGTTTTTTTATTTTTTATTTTGGGGTGAGCTGTCCCATAAGTCTCCAATATGGTATATGATAAGTGTTGTTGGAATAAGACAGACATGCAGATTGGTCTCAACTATGCTTGTATCTGCCACACAGTGGAACATACAGCAAAACCAAAATCATCTTTTATGAACAGATGAACAGCTTTTACAACATAATATAGCCATGACAAATGTATTATTTGAATCAAAAAAAATGTTAAGCCTAGTCACAAAGAACTGAAATAACATTTGGTTTCATCAGTTTAGGGCTGTAATTTAGATCATTTTCATTTAAAGTGTTATTTAATTCCAAAGCCCAAGAGGACATACTTATGTTGTTTATGCTGTCTTATCAACAGTCAAAAATTTTATTTAGTTCACTATGATATATAACAAAAATGCAGCAAATTCTCACAGTTAGCCCAAAGTTGCCAATGGCTCGGACATAGACCCAATCTGCCAGCTCATATCTTCAACATTATGTTTCCAGATAGCAGATTTCATGAGTGAAAGGTAACAGGATGTAACAAGATGCATGAAACAAGAGACTGGAGATTATAAATTCCTCAGGCTGAGCAGCGTCACCGCTCAAACTCTGAATGAGGACAAATGGTACAAGCAGGATGAGAAATCCCCTGTATCAGTTCCCACTCATTTTTCTGTGTAACCCTTTGAGCTATTTGTCTTCCATCGATCCTAAATACCCCTTTCTCTTTTTTTCATCACTACTTCCTCCACTCCTCCTTTTCCTCCTCCTCCTCCTCCTCCTATTACTCCCAGTGCAATGAACATGGACAGGTTTGAGAAAGGCCCCAGGGAGATCCTCAACCCGGAGATTCAGAAGGTGAGATTTAAAGCATCGGCCAACTCCCAGTGAAATCTATCACCGGTCCGTACATGCCGGGCCTGATCAGCAGCATCTAAACTGTATGTCCTCAGGCTAGAGGCTGGTCAGAGTGAATAATAATTGTTATGTCCTCTTTCTTCAGGATCTGTTGGTGTTGGAGGAACAGGAGGTACAGGATACTGCATTCACAGTAACTTATTTATTGATTTATTTTGCACAAGGTTGGACACTACTTCTTTTATGTTATTTTGTTTGGTTTCCTTTTGTTTAGCTTGTAAGTCACATTCACACACCCACATATCACTCACTTGTTTGGGTCTTTATTGATTTTTTTGGCATAAGTCTCTGCCAGACAGTTAAAAAAAGTCTTTAATATTGTCTGAAATCTTGCAGGAGAAAAGCATTAAATATATCTCCAAGTAAAGCTGTCCTTCATTATAATGCCATTTTCATTACTTTTTTATTCTATTAATACTGTCTTGTTGAGTAATTATTCTCTCAGTGCATCTTCGTTATTTTTATTTAAAGATGCAGTCCAAATAGCTTTTTGTGTGTCTCTGGCATCATATTTTTTTCAATAGCAACACTGTATGACAATGGAAAAGAATAATAAATGCATCAATTGTAAATTATTTTATAATTTTAATCCAGCTATGATTTTTCAGGGTTCTGTCAACTTTAAATTTGGCGTCCTGTTTGCCAAAGACGGACAGCTCACGGATGACGAGATGTTTAGCAATGGTAAATCCCTCTAACTTTTTACAGTGTCCAAGAGTTTGATGACAAAATCAATACCATTTTCATATCTGTCAATTCAATATGAAACTGGAGGCAGCAGCCAGTTATATTAGCTTAGCATAGCTTAGCATAAAGACTGGAAACAGGGGGAAACATTTAGCCAAGCATTCAAGGTAACAAAGTTTGTCAACCAGCAACTGTAAAGCTCACTAATTAACATGTTACATCTCATTTGTTTACTGCACCCAGCCAAGAAATAGTATTTGGTTTTGTCATGTGGATGTTATTGCTTTGCAACAGAACAATGCTGGCTGTTTTCCTTGTTTCCAGTCGTGTTAAGCTAAGCTAAGCGGCTGCTTTACATCTGACTACAAAGCCGAATGGTCATCTAACTCAGGGGAAGAAAGCAAATTCAATGTCAAACTATCCCTGTGTCAAAACAGCAGCAAGAGGAGCCGTCTGTTTAGTCAAAAGTTCTGTGTTTGTTTCAGAGACGGGGAGTGAGAGCTTTGATAAGTTTCTCACTCTGCTGGGGGATTCTATTACGCTGCAGGGATGGGCAGGTTACCGTGGAGGGCTAGACACCAAGAGTAAGACATCTGTTTAAATGACATCATATTAACATGATTTTGAAGCAAAAGGCTGTTGAATATGTCAGTTATCTTTGTCTCTTTTCACCTGCAGATGACACTACAGGAATTAAGTCCATCTACACAGTGTATCAGGGCCACGAGCTCATGTTCCATGTGTCTACCATGTTACCCTACTCGAAAGAGAACAAACAGCAGGTATGTGTCTGCAGGTGTAGCTGTGCAATTTTGTCCTGCTATATGTCAGCCCACCTCTGTGGCCCATAATGGAATATCTAAACTACTGGATGGACTGACAGGAACAGGATTCCCAGAGGATGAATCCTATAGACCTTCATTATCCACTGGCACTGACTATTCCTGTAGCACCACCATGAGGTTGACATTTGTGGTTTGAGTATCAGATATATTACCATAAAGTTTAGTTCAGACATTTATGATCCCCTGAGGATGAACTGTTTTAACTTTGTCCAAATTTAATTTGTCTAATTCTTTGGTTTATGACTAAATATGTGCAACACTAATGACATTTCCATCAGCATTAGCTTTACTTTGCGTTCAGTGCTAATTAGCAAATGCTAGCTTGTTTACACCCTGAACAAAGATGGTGAACATGATGTACATACCCACAAAACATTTACGTGTTAGCACAGACATTGTAAGCATGTTAACAGGCTGACTTTTGCATTCAGTTCAAAGCATCGTTGTGCTCCAGTACAGCCTTGAAGAGCCACTAGCGCGGCTGTAGACTGTTGTCTTGTTTAGTGTTGGCTCATCCAAAAGAGAGAGAGAAAACAACTAAGAGGAGAAACAGCTGAGATGAACATACAGTAGCCCCGTGTTGGGTTAGACTTGCAATACTCGAGATAAATATTTCTCTCTCTCTCTCTCTCTACTCTTTTTTTTCTGTCATGATATTTTTGTATCCTACTCTTTGCATATGTTCCTCCTCTTTCATCTTCATGTCTTACCACTAACTCCCCCCAAAGATTGAGCCCTTCTGTTTGTGCTATACACTGGTATTAGAGAAATTGCAGAAACTTTAATTGTACATCAGTCACAGGTCTTCATCTCTAAGTCATTCAGCCGAGAATATATCCCACCAATAGGAAGCCAGGACAATAGCAGCCAACTTGGCAGAATATGCTCACTGTGGAAAGAATGGAGAAAAAAGGATGTTATTGCTTTACTGTAGAGCTCCATTCTGTAATGCCAATATTAGTGAGGATGATTTAAAAGGGCAGCTGCTCAGCAAATCTGACACAGAATTGGATTTCTTCTTAAGATAGAGAAAAGGCTTTCTGGCGGTCAATAATAAGGAACAGTCTGTGCTTGTGTTGCATGTGAGTGTGGCTGCTGGTCTGTCGCTTGTCTCACATCCACCTGAGAGACAAAAACTGTCATCGAATGACATAACGTGATTTTATTTCACACCAGAGTAACTCAAGTTCAGCTTAATTGGCGAAGTTGTGGTGTTAATGTCACCTCAAAGTTGTTGGATATAAGGAAAAGCATCCTGACAGTTTTGCTACACTATGTATAGCCTTCCAGGTAATAAGGCTAAACCCTAGGGGTGGGCAATATGGTCCTTACATAATATCATAATATTGCAAGGTATTTTTGCGTTAATGATTTTCTTGACTTTATGACAAATTAGTGGGGAAAAAAAATAAGAAAATGAAATTGCAACAAAATAAGTGATATAGTTTTACATGTCAACCTAACAGTTTGCCTTTGAATATTCAGTAAAAACTAAACAAAAATGATCTCTCCTTTTTTAGTTTGTAAACAACAATAATAACTCAGAGTGACATTCAGATTGTGTATACAATATCAATAGTACAGTAGAAAATCTAGCACAAATTACAAATTTAAACAGCTCCCAAATACAAAAAATGTACCCTGGGATCTATATATATAAATCAACAGGTGATTTCATTCTTTTTTAGCAAACTCTTTCCACCTGGACCTTTATGCTCTGCCATTTCTCATCTAAGCATCACTGTTGTGCTGTAATGCTACTACAACTATTGCACATTCATATGTATGCAGTTTTTTGTTGAGCCTCAAGCGTCATGTAGGTTTACATTACCAAAGGTTTATGACAAAATGACTTGATGACAGGGAGGGTAACTCATGGTAACTCACTGAAAGAGTCTGAGAAGTCCAGGGCTGTTCATAACACATTCATGACATGTCATGGTTTATTCCACACTACTGAAGCTGCTCCTCTTTTTGAAACCACAGCAGATTCTGTAATAATTTCGCTTCCAGCCATGCTGTTTGTTGCCGTGGGTAACAGTATTATATATAAACAAGTTGAAACATTGCGGGTATCACAGTATGAATTTTTCATATGATGTTAAAACTTATAAAGGTATTGTTGTGAATGAGATGATATGGCACACCCCTACTTAACACAAAGCTAAAAAAGTTCTTAGGGTAATGCTAGAAGAAAAGCTGTGTTAAGATCAAGAGGACTTGTCCTCCTTGGAGCATGACTGTGCAGAGGTAATCACATAGCAGTCTGTCTTTTTGATAATAAAAAAAGCTAGTGTGCAAAGTTGAAATTTTAGCCTTACTGTAGCCCTCAAGGAAGGCTCACAGTGTATAGCTTCATCCTCTGAGGACCATGATTGTCCTCAGCAAGCAGGTTTTATTAGAAATGTTGTCACGAACCAAAGAGTTGAACGAGGATAGATTTTAACTTGGTTGGGATTCAAGTCAAGTCAAGAAGTTGTAGCTGTTATGATGGCTTTCTTTGAAACAAAGTGTTGGATGGACATGTCAGCCATCACACAAACAAAAATATTTTACATTTTCATTGATGAGGAGAGGATGGGTGGCAAAGAAAATATAATAAAAGTGCAGCAAACTAGAAATGGCAAAACCAGCAGGTGAGACTGCAGTAGATTTGCTCGATGTTAGTGCCTCTGAAGTTTTAGGATCAAAGAGTTGAAATTATCTCCGCTTCTTAAGGTGTTTGTGGTGTTGAGAGCTTGGAAAATGTTTTGCTGTTAAAATCATAACCTATTCTGCACTCACACTCAAATGTCCCATTACTCAGTACCTCATCAACAGGATGATGCAAACTCATTAACTTTAAAGCTGCTATAATTAATATTTTTACGTTTACAGCCGATGAAATGACTTCTAATGTGAAAGGTGTTGCTCATAATGATGAACCCACAGAGAATTACCACCCAGCTCTATAGTCCCCCCTTAGCTCTACAGAGTCTATTAGCATCTTTCAGTTGATTGTTTTAATTTTGATTGGGTTGATTTAGTCTTACCGCTCTTATCAGCATCATTTCTAAATGCTACAGGAAGCTGCTTTAGCGAAAAAGCTCAGATAAACCCACTTAAAGCTACCTTCCCTGTACCAAATAAAGTTGATATGAAAAGGGTAGGTACATGCTGGTGTTTTAAAAGCAACATGAAGTTAGTTATTGTAGATTGGCCCCCTGATTTGGCTCACGTAACAGTCAGCAGCAGCAGCAACTGACGGTGACAAACAGCTCGTAGAGGTAATTTACGGTACTTAGAGCCAGATTGCCGCAATTTGCGTCAAACTACGCACTCCTTCTTGAAGTCATGACTCAGTCAAATCGGAACACAAAGACTTCACAGAGTTTGTTTTTTTTTATTCAGTGTGACTTACACTTTCTGAGGACATGATTCCAGTGTCCACTGTGAATATACGTCCAATAAATTTGCTAAGAAATCACTAAAAAGACGCTAATTTTGCCTGATTGCCAGAACTTACCCAAGAATCTTACCCAAGTTTCTTCAGTATCAAAGTAATTCAGTGATATTTGTCTGAACATAACTGGGTACATTGCAAACAGGAGCTGCTAATAGGTGATTCAGCATACATTTAATGTTGCCAATTTACTAAAATTAAAACAAATAGGCTGAAAAAACAGAGATCAAGTTATAGCCCACAGCATAACTCAACTATTGTACCTACATTGATCATGTGCACAGAGGCACGACTCCAGTTGAATGCTAATTTTAATGTGTGTCTGCTAGATGTGTAAATAGGCAACTGTGTGCTAAGTTTGTTGCTCTGCTCCAAAGTGACCATAAAATCAATGAATCCAGGTTTGAAGACAGTTCCTGTCACACATGACTCACAGAGGTTAAGTTGTCTTTTTTTCCCTCATCTTGTGTCTCTTCGGTCTGTTCTGTCTGGCAGGTGGAGAGAAAGAGACACATTGGAAATGACATTGTTACCATAGTATTCCAGGAAGGGGATGACGCATCGTCGTCCTTCAAACCGTCTATGATCCGATCGCACTTCACCCGTATCCTTCACACAGACAGTGACTGTCAGAGAAACGAAGTGCTAATCAGCAACATGTTCGGAGGAGCTTCTGCTAATGTCACATCGGCCCTGTAACACTGAAGATACACGGATTGCTTTTGTGTCTCCTATATAACCAGCGTTTCCTTTACTTCACTTCCAGATATTTTTGCATTAGTTAGGTATAATTGCCAGAATGACAGTTACAGGTGAGTGCTTGAATTGATGCTGTGGTTTATAGTGTTATAATCCAGACGTTGTAGCAACTGCTTTTCAGTATCTCGACCTAAAAAACTTAAATTCTTGCTACTAGTTCCTGTTGATTGTTTCTGTGATTAAAAAGAATAGTTTACTTTGCCATAATGTTTGAAGTGCTTTCATCCATTATAAGTGTAAGAGAGATTTTATATGTCTGCTCTTTTTCACAGGTTGAAGATATTCTCAGAGGAGAGTGTTCCGCTGTTTGGACCCCCTCTCCCATCTCCGCCTGTATTTACTGATCACCAAGAATTCAGGGACTTTTTATTAGTCAAATGTAAGAAAATAAAACTAATAAAATCAGAATATGACTACTAAATGTACCATCATTATTTCCTGTTTTATAATCTGATCCTGTTTCATCTCCTGCAGTAATCAATGGAGAGAAAGCCACACTGGAGACGCCAACGTTTGCCCAGAAGCGTCAGCGGACCCTTGACATGTTGATCCGCTCGCTCTACCAAGATCTCATGCCTGACCTGCACAAGGTACAGCTGCACTGCTGACCACCAGTGTCTTATTCATTCTTGGATGTGCGTACTTTTTTGTCCACCAAAGTTGTCTCCTCCTTGTCACTTGAGTCACTGGCAGTGACTGTAGCCACTGCTGAGTTGTGTTCTGCTGTATTCCACTGCAGCCCTCAGTCTGCCTCTGCATACTGCACCACACCGACTGGATACTACTGCAATGCTGACTTTCTCAGCAGGGCTCTCTCTCCTCACATCACTTTTGTTCTTATTTCTCTTGTTTTTTTTCTCTCCCCTCCTTTCACTGTTGCTCCTAACACAACTTAGTTCTCACTGTGTTTCACTGCTGCTGTTCTCACCCCCTGCTAGGGTCACTCTCTAAGACCCCTTTCTGCTTTCTTTTTCCCCTCTGTGTGTGTGTGTGTGTTTGGTGTTCCACGTTTAGGTTCCTTTTTCTCCCCAGAACATGTTAAACCGGCGGTCCTTCAGCGACGTGCTGCCTGAGTCTCCAAAGTCAGCACGCAAGAAGGAGGAGGCACGGCAGGCCGAGTTTGTCAGAATAGGGCAGGTAAGAAAGTGATAAACATGCCAAGGTACACACAAACACAGTTTTACTAACAAACCAGAGCTCTGCAGTAAGCAGGCAGAAACACCCACACACACATGGGAACCAGGATACACACCCAGACAAAGGAAGCCACAAACAAACACACCTAAGAAACCTAAACACACATGCACATGTAAACACAGGTGTTGATGATAATAATGTCATGGAGCATGACATCAGCACCTAACAGGTATTTAAATGATCAGGAATATAAATTTATGAATATTAGGGGTGGGAATCGCCAGAGGACTCATGATACAATGTTATCACAATACTTACGTCACGATACGATATTATTGCAATATTGTGATATATTGAATATTGTGATAAAATATATTGCGATATATTGCGATTTACTACCTTTTTTCCCAAGTGCAAATTATTTGCCTAAAGGCAAACTTAGTCAACATGAGTTTTACCTCATAAGATCAAGTTTTCAGTCTGTTCATCTGATTTTAATCATTTTTATTGCAGCAAAATGTGATGCAAAACAGACAGACTGACCGACACCATCATTAAACCTGTCAGAAATGCTGCATGCAAACTGACAAACTGACAAACTGACAAACTGAGCTATTGGCAGATTTAATACCCTCTGCAAGGCCAGATTAAGTGCATGAGTGAAACTATTCACATGCAGGTATCCCACCATTTGAACAGCAACAGCCGTGTTGGAAGCATTGTCTGTTACAACCACAATCCCCCATTCTTGCGCTGCTTTTTGCAGGAGGTCTGCCATGTTTGCTCTGGTGTGATTTTTGTGTATTGCTCCAGTTTGGAGAACATGAGACAGCAGTCGCCAGTCCTCTGTGAGATAATGTGCCGTTATAGTCACAGATGAATCCACTGACCTTGAAGTCCAGGTGTCACAAGTTAATTTCACCCTTCCTGCGGTACTCAAAGATTCCTCACCTTTACCACATGCACTTAAGAAGATTGTAATTCATTCTGATTTACTGACCTGCTCAGAGAGATGAAAAACAAGTTGGTGACTGTGACTAGCTACCTCTGAGGGAGTCATGAAGTCGGAATATGTGTCCATTCGTATTTATATTCCTTAAATCTGTCAGGGTCCACTGATCAAAAAATTCAAAGGGGTTATCATAAGAAAATTATCCACGTTGTAAATATTGTTTTAGCAGAATAAATAGGTGTCAGTATGTCAGGCGCCGTAAAACGGCCGTCATAAATGGTTGTAAGTCTCTCTCTGTGATGCACTCTGTCTGAGCTAGATCAAATGAATGATGAGTAATTGTTATGTTATTCATAATCATAGCCCAATTTATACACAAGTAATATTCATACTGACTTAAAAATAATTTGAAAGTATTTCCCAAGAGCTGAGGCAAATAATAGCCTGGGTTATTACGTGAAGTTTTACGTTAAATATGAATCAAAAGTCTGTTACTGCATTGCCTTTTTCTGGCCTCAAATGTTTGCAGAAAAATATTTTAGTGTACTGTTTAGCTGTAAAATGAGAGGTTGGTCTGGCTGGTGTGCAGTGCGTGGTTTTCACTCAGCCGTTTGGTTGTCGGGTCACAAACTTTCTCATTTCACAGCTAAACAGTGCACTAAAATATGTTTCTGAAAACATTACAGGTGAGAAATAGGCAATGCAGTGACAAAATCTTGATTCATATGTGATCAGCGCTGCCTAGTTTGACAGTTTGACTGCAGCTCGGGAGCAGTGATTGACAGCTGCTGTGAGACTCCTGGGATCTGATAGGTTGGTTTTGTTCACATGCAGTCAGACCATGAGAAGCGCTACGAGGAGGCAGAGGAGCATGATTTTTATTTCACAGATTATCTGTCTCACGTACGGCTGTGTGGATGTGCTGACAGTTTCAGAAAATATGACAAAAAGGTGTTCTTGTAAAATTCAACAACTACAACTTCAACAGAAGAAATCATGTCCTTTTTATGTGCCATGTGTTTCATTTTGTCACCATCAAATTGAGGATAGTTCAGTGTAGGGGGACAAAACCTTCAGTCCTTGTCTTGGATGAAAAATGTTGGAAAGTTCATGCAAGGCTTCATCAGTCTGAGATAGTCAAATCAAGCGTGTATCTTCTAAACTTACTTAATTACTTTTTAATGCCTTTTGTAGACACTTATCTACCAGCACCAGTGCGTTTTTCAAAAAATTAGCCTCTCTCTATGTGAGGAAGATCTGTGTCTCTAAATGATAAGTCATTCAAGAGCTGTAATTCCTGACAGATGGCTATGTGAACGGGACACCTGCTTTCAGGAGGGTCAGGGTGGAATAATATACGGAACAAGTCTCTGAGCCACAGTTCTGCAGTCATTACTGGGCTGATGTAATCATCATTACACCTCTGTTCCAGCTGCTGATGTAACTGTAATTATACAGGAACAAAGTCTGAAAACATTAAGGGAAAAAAAAGAAAATGCGTAAAGAACTGTCTGTGGTGCTGAGCCTACACGACCCCTGGCTTTATGGAGATGATTTGTGTTTGTTCCATCACAGCCGCACACTGTGAAACAAACTGCTAGAAGGAATTAAGTCGGCATAGTCGGTACCTGTTTTTAAATTGTTCATTAAGATACCTGTTTATGCTGCTAAAGTAATTCTGTCTCTTGTTTCCTTTGCTTGTTGTCGTCATTTGCTAACCCTTATTCTTCTCGGCATTACTGTTTGTGTTTTCTGCCTTGTTTCTCTTGCTCCCGTCACTCTCTGCTCATAAACACAAAGGCGAGGCATCGACACATTGTGCTGCAAAGCATGAAAGCAAAGGAAGGTAGAAGTGTCGAGTCATCGATTATTCAGTTTTGTCAAGACAAGGCGTCTGTCCTCAAGTAAACCGACTCTCTGTGTGGTCGTTCATTGTGTGACGCACGTTACACACAATGATTTCATTTTGTCATGGATTCCTGATAGGCTGGAATATGTATTTCTTTTATGGATATTTTCTCATGGATTTCATTATCTCCAGATTGCCTGTTTATGCAGATATGTAAATACAAATGCCTGACTGTGCACTTGGATTGGAAATTGTCAGTCTGATCAGACGGGTGCTGCTTTAGCATTTGTGCAACCTGTGTTCTTCTTTGAATTTGGAGAAATTACACCTTTTATTTAATGTATTATGACACTTTTTTACTGTCGCCAGTCTGCTTGTCCAGATACTCTTCATCTCTGTGAGCTGTCACAGTGCTCAGCGCCTAAATACGCATGAAAGCAAGGAAACAACAACAGCAGGCTAGTTAAAAATTAGTGATGGAAGACAAGGTGCATAATTCAGCAAGCCCAGACCACTGCTCTCCTTCTGGTGATGCATTTACCTGCACAGTTTACATGCACACACTCTCACTTTATCCAAGGCAGGGTTCGTGATTTGAATGTCTTGTCCAGCAGTGTTGGGCCGGCTACTTAGATAATGTAGTGAGCTAAGCAACTAGCTACTATACATCAAAATTCTGTTTCACTGCACGAAGCTTTCTCCAGAGAAATGTAGCAAGCTAAGTTATGAGAAAAGCTAGCAAAAGTTACATTTATTTTTTTACTTTATGTCTAATCAGTGTTTTCTCAGTGATAAGAAAAAATAGGCAGGCAAAAAAGTGTTCAGTTGAACTGTTTATTATAAAATAATGGACTTAAATTAACTTTCCTCTTTTCTTTTCTTTTTTTTTTTGAAGACTGTGACATTTGAACATGTCCTCCAATAACATGACATCATCAGTCGTCCTGTTGCTCTCTGTCTTTCTCTCTCCTCATCCTACTTAATGTATTTCTCTGTCTTGGCCTCTTTCAGTAGGCTATCTGGCTATGTCAGAAATTAAAAAACAGAATTTCAAAATAAATTTTTCTGTCAGTAAAGTCATAATAAATAAAAGGCAGCAATATAAACTAGGGATGTCCCGTATTGGCCACCGATATTAGCAAAAAACGTGCATCAGCATCAGATCGGACTGCATGGAAAAATGCCGATCCAAGAACTCTGATCCAGTTTTTCATAGAGTCCGATCCAGGTTTTCCGGTCAGCCCAGCGCTCCGCAATTCAAGGAGTCCATTCCAGTGATCCGCTCCAGCACTTACTATCAATCCACCAGGCCAGCATGCAGACACACAGGAAAGAGCAGCACCAGGCTGGCACTGACACTACAAAAATAACTGAAAAGGAAAGGCTGCATTGTTTGTTAAATGTCAACAATGTCTTGTGGTGTTAATCTATTTTTTATTTATTAGGGGAGCAAAGCACAAGTGTGTGGAGTCTTGCTGCTATTTTAATTTCAATGTTAGACATTTTGATTTATTTTCTATTTATTAAGGGGCCAAAACAGCCAAAACAAACCAGCTATATGTTTTATTTAATGTTAATGTTCAAGTTTAAAGTTTGTTTATTTAACCCTGTTAACAATAAACAGGTCAGTTTCTCATACCAACTGTTGTGGATCATTCTAACTAACCCGATTAAGTAGTTGCTCGTGTTAGAATAATATCACTTGATCAAACCTTTTCTAACATGACTGACAACAAAATAAGTGAATATGTATAATACGCGCTTGGATCGGATCAGTATCGGCCAAAACTCAAGGCTGTAATATCGGTATCGGATCGGAAGTGAAAAAGCTGAATCGGGACATCCCTAATATAAACAATAAAAATAAGAGACCTAAATTAAAACTTTTCTCTTTTGGGGGACATTAGAACATGAACAAGTCCTGCAAACGTGACATCAGTATCTCACTCCCTCTCCTCTCTTCTCTCTTAATACTGTTCTCTGTCTCTCAGCTCTTTTCTTGGCCCTTGTTGTGTTTATCTCTCTTGTGTCCTCTGCAAATCCACTAAATATATACAGTCTATGGGAAAGACACATAAGAGACATGTCAAGAAGTGCAATGTAGCCAATGAGAGGCAGGGCATTGCGGGTCTTGCCAAGAAAAGCCAATAGCAAAGCAGCAAGCAGAATAAACTGGAGGATTAGCGTTTGGCGTCACTTGTCTACATGCCTCGGTGTGGTGCTGGCGTCAATCACAGTACTTATCCTCAGTTTTATTATCCTTACTTTTAGGCAGACCTCTGCACTAAAGAGCTTTTGCTGAGAAAAAATATCTTAACTTTTGGGGATGCTACCACGCTATTTGCTCAGTTAATTAACTTTGCTACTGAAAAGCTATTTGACTCAGAAAGTAGTGACCTTACCTCCATGGTGCTGAGAGATGTACAGTACAGGCCAAAAGTTTGGACACACCTTCTCATTCAATGCGTTTTCTTTATTTTCATGACTATTTACATTGTAGATTCTCACTGAAGGCATCAAAACTATGAATGAACACATGTGGAGTTATGTACTTAACAAAAAAAGGTGAAATAACTGAAAACATGTTTTATATTCTAGTTTCTTCAAAATAGCCACCCTTTGATCTGATTACTGCTTTGCACACTCTTGGCATTCTCTCCATGAGCTTCAAGAGGTAGTCACCTGAAATGGTTTCCACTTCACAGGTGTGCCTTATCAGGGTTAATTAGTGGGATTTCTTGCTTTATCAATGGGGTTGGGACCATCAGTTGTGTTGTGCAGAAGTCAGGTTAATACACAGCCGACAGCCCTATTGGACAACTGTTAAAATTCATATTATGGCAAGAACCAATCAGCTAACTAAAGAAAAAGGAGTGGCCATCATTACTTTAAGAAATGAAGGTCAGTCAGTCCGGAAAATTGCAAAAACTTTAAATGTGTCCCCAAGTGGAGTCGCAAAAACCATCAAGCGCTACAACGAAACTGGCACACATGAGGACCGACCCAGGAAAGGAAGACCAAGAGTCACCTCTGCTTCTGAGGATAAGTTCATCCGAGTCACCAGCCTCAGAAATGGCAAGTTAACAGCAGCTCAGATCAGAGACCAGATGAATGCCACACAGAGTTCTAGCAGCAGACCCATCTCTAGAACAACTGTTAAGAGGAGACTGCGCCAATCAGGCCTTCATGGTCAAATAGCTGCTAGGAAACCACTGCTAAGGAGAGGCAACAAGCAGAAGAGATTTGTTTTGGCCAAGAAACACAAGGAATGGACATTAGACCAGTGGAAATCTGTGCTTTGGTCTGATGAGTCCAAATTTGAGATCTTTGGTTCCAACCGCCGTGTCTTTGTGAGACGCAGAAAAGGTGAACGGATGGATTCCACATGCCTGGTTCCCACTGTGAAGCATGGAGGAGGAGGTGTGATGGTGTGGGGGTGTTTTGCTGGTGACATTGTTGGGGATTTATTCAAAATTGAAGGCACACTGAACCAGCATGGCACCACAGCATCCTGCAGCGACATGCCATCCCATCCGGTTTGCGTTTAGTTGGACCATCATTTATTTTTCAACAGGACAATGACCCCAAACACACCTCCAGGCTGTGTAAGGGCTATTTGACCAAGAAGGAGAGTGATGGAGTGCTGCGGCAGATGACCTGGCCTCCACAGTCACCGGACCTGAACCCAGTCGAGATGGTTTGGGGTGAGCTGGACCGCAGAGTGAAGGCAAAGGGGCCAACAAGTGCTAAACACCTCTGGGAACTCCTTCAAGACTGTTGGAAAACCATTTCAGGTGACTACCTCTTGAAGCTCATGGAGAGAATGCCAAGAGTGTGCAAAGCAGTAATCAGAGCAAAGGGTGGCTATTTTGAAGAAACTAGAATATAAAACATGTTTTCAGTTATTTCACCTTTTTTTGTTAAGTACATAACGCCACATGTGTTCATTCATAGTTTTGATGCCTTCAGTGAGAATCTACAATGTAAATAGTCATGAAAATAAAGAAAACGCATTGAATGAGAAGGTGTGTCCAAACTTTTGGCCTGTACTGTAGTTAAATTAGTAACTTTGCTAATTGTAGTGACACTACTGCCTAACACTGTTGTCCAGACACTGTACAAATATAAAGCTTCTAATTTATTTTAAAGAGACAGCCCAAGATCAAAAATCCATATTTTCTTCTCACCCGTAGTGCTGCTTATCATTCCAGATTATGATGGAGATATCGACCATAGAGATGTCTGCCTTCTCTCCAATATAATGGAACTAGATGGCACTCAGCTTGTGGTGCTCAAAGCGTCAAAAACAAACTCAACAGTAATGTCTCTTTCCAGAAATCATGACCTGGTTACTCAAGATAATACACAGCTGTGAGCAGTTTCATGTAGCAACTGTTGTCTTTCTACTGAACCACGCCTGTCAACCACATAAACACACAGATGGGGTGAACTGTCCCTTTAAAAAGTAGTCGCTCACTTTAAGTGTAGGTTAAAAATGCGTGCAACCTTAACTTGCACATGGCACAGTTTTATTTATGAGGTTCTTGTAATTTATTTGAATGTTTTTATTTAATGCATCTTTATGCTTTTATTCCACGACATTTCAGAGGGAAATATACTTTTTACCAAGTATTTGACACAGGTAGAGCTGTCTCCAATTGAGGTTCGTCGTTACATTTTAGATGCCCGTCAGTTTCACCTCTCTGAACTCTAGAAACAGATGGCTTCATTTAAATAGTAGTTTAAGACCCAAAGTAGTAAAATTCATGCTTTTCATTAATGTATTTAATATGTTATCAACAAAATCACTAGACTAGAGAAAAGTCTGAAAAATAAATACAAATGTGTGTAGCAGAATTTATTTTGCTCTTCTTTCCAGCCTTATTAAATCCAAAAGATCATCTCATGACCTCTCAGATTTATCTTGTGCGATTGGAGGGAGACCGCACCCTAGGTTGGGAATAACTGGATTAATGCAACTGTTTAAGTAGTTACAGATAGCTCCACCTTGACCAGCTAAAACTCTAATAATGCCATATGTAATGACATATGAATCACAGGGGCCATAGCACTTTTTGCTGGTAAGATTTCTGTACTTTAACTTTAACTTTACTTTAACTTTTACATGTACTGGGATATTTTTACATTGTTGTTTTGCTGCCTTTACTTAAATAAAGGCGTTCTTCCAGCACCACAGGCCAAAGTATAAGGAACTGAGAGCACTGATGTCTCTGTCATTGTGTCATATCTGATGCCATTTTATTTTCTCTAGGCACTGAAGCTGAAGACCATCGTGAGAGGAGATGCCCCAACCAGCCTTGTTACCACCGGCCTGTGCAGAAAAGAGGTGAGAGCACTTCATCTTAAGTCATTTACTCTCTTATTGAATCAAAAAAAACATTGCTTTATACATTTGAAAAGTTTGCTTACTTAAAATATTTCCAAAGCAATTCACTTTTTTCCCCAAACCAATTCGTACTTAAGATCCCTTATCAAAGACATTATCACAATTGTGATCAACAAATGAACTGTACAGGCTTGTTAGTTGTCTTTGGCGTACAAACTATTTAATATAGACACTGTTTCTAAGTTACCTTTAACATATCTTGGGTATTTCTGCTGAATTTCTGTAATAAGCTCAATTTGGCTGATAAATAGGCTCTAGAATCAAGTGTTATTATTCTCTTTTGGATTATTTTCTTGATATTAGAGCAGAAATATGCCTTGCCCTGTTTGTTTTAACATACTTTAAATTCCAGAAATAAGAAAAAATGTACAGGAAACATGGATTTTACTCACTTGCAGAACTTGATTTGTTTTATAAAAACATATCTTCAAATCTAAATATGTGCTTAAAGGTGTTTTTCAGTGTGTGTTCAGATTTTTTTTAATATCCTGCCAAAGCAAGTGGCTGTTATATGAATGTCTCTGCATATATCTTCATATGTCTGCATGTTTGTATGTGCATATATGCTGCAGCCATGGGAGTCTCAGCTGTTCTGCAGCACATTCCCCTATGAGATCGTGTGTTCTGACTCCTGGGGTCAGTCTCTGCTGGCTGCCACCGACGCTGCAGGGGTCATGCTGCTGGATGGTGAGGTCATCCCTAATCAATATCTCCCCATGTCCTCTAAAATAAAGCCACCCATCCATATCCATTCAATACTGCGCTCAGCTGAATGCCAAGGCCAACAGCTAACATGGTGCTGATAATGATGTTGTCCACATTTCAGGCCCTGATCCAGCTTTGCCCAACGCCGGTGAGTGCCACACAACCAATCCATCTCTTTATTGCTCGGGGGATTTTTTTGTTACAAGCATGTCAGCTTCACTTATGACATGTTTATATGGTTTTGCCTGTCTTTTTATTGTGACCTTTGCATCGTGTTTCAGAGCCACAGACTGTGCCCCCAGTGCAGGTGTTTGACAAAACCATGGTGGTGAAGCAGGTGCACGTTCTCGAGCCTCAGGACCTGCTTATCACCAGGGCGGACAAAGGTACGCTTAGACCTCATCACCTCCTCCCTGCAGCACATCAGAGACTGCCTCCCCGTGGAGCCGTCTTTTGTCATCTCCCTCATTCATTCTTCATTTCAACAGTATTTATCTTCTTTCTTATTATTCATATTCCTCTCTCTTCTTTCATCTCTGTCATCTCTCCCTGCGTTGTCGAGTACATACTTACCCTTTCCACCTTCGTTGCCCCACCGAACACATTGATCTCTGGCTGTGATCTAAGGAAATTGACCTATAGAGAACCGATCCCTGTCGAGGTTGTGTATGTGTGCGTATGGGAGTGTGTGTGTGTTTATTCTGCACGACTGGATTGACTGTGAGAGTGCAGTGGGCTATAAAGGACCGACAGACATGCAGACAGGCACAGATAAAATTAAACATACATGCATAAAACGGCACAAATAGCACATATAAGAAGTCGCCGTGTGCTTACAAACAGCTGTAGGATTCGTCTCATGTTTGCCTTGACCAGAGGAGCATGCAATTAATTACCCTGCAGATGATTAGCTAACTCTAATATTGACAAACAGGGTTGACTCGGTTTTGATAGTGATTATGTGATGGCAGCGCAAACATTTGTCACGACTGTGTGTGGGCTTTGATTAAGCTTCTGAGAGAGCGCGAGTCTTAAGAAGCCTTCTAGTAATCCTCCTGCAGCACAGCACCATTGTCTGGTCGTGGGAGGATGCTAAAAAAGAGACGGCAAATTAAGAGTAACCTTCATGGAAAACAGAAGTGGCTTTTGTTTTGTTTTCAGGGAAGGACGCTCGGCTCTATGTGTACAGACTCAGCGCACTCAGGAGAGGCCTGGAGGAGAAACTCGTCAGAAGCAAGTGTGACAGCCGGGAGAATAAACTGGAGAAAACTAAAGGTACGAAGCGAGGCATGCAAGAATATACACAGCGTTGCACCCACTGCAAATTAATCCCCACAACAAACAGGAAAAAAAATATACTGTCTCAGCTGTCAGGTGCCCATTATACAGGTTCTGCTGGCTGTAAATTCACCCCTGTTCATACTAGCTATTAAGAGATCTCCTCCTAATGCACTTAGACATGTCAGCCTAAAGCAGGAAGTTGTGACCTTTATGAACATCCTTTTTTTGCAGCACAAACACGTAACCTTTAACTTGCTGCTGGTGTCATGCCAGTGTCTGTGGTGGATTCATCGATCTGTGGGTTGATGCCAGGGAACAACCACCTACAGCACAGCACATGTCCAATGTACTGTCTGTCTCTCTATCTCCCCCCCCCCACCACCCTCCTCCTCTTTGTCCCAGGCTGTCATTTGTACTCAATCAACACCCACCACGGCTCTGAGCTGAGGATAGTAGCAGCCATCAGGAACAAACTCCTCCTCATCACCAGGAAACATCCACGTTTCGAAGGCTTCAGCGCCATCGCATCGGGAGCAGACTCACCGGTGGAGGAGTTTCAGTACATACGGGTACAACAAACTCTATATGAGTGATTAACATAATAGCTAAATGGACAGAAAAATGAATTCATTCGTGAATGAATGAGTAGGTATATAATGTTAATTCCCTTTTAAAGGAGTCAGGAGAATTTTTAAGTGTCTTAGCTGTCCCAGTTTGCGTCGAAAAATGTACCCATGTACGACTCCTCCGACTCATGATAGATATATTTTTAGATTCAGTGTGACATGCACTTTCCAGGGATAACATAATCTCCAGTGTACATAGCAAATAAAGTACAATAAATCCATTTAGAAGTCACAGAAAAGAGGCACTCATAACTCCAGAACTTGCCCAAAAATCTCAGTATTTTTAAGTTTTCTTCAATATCAGAGTGATCCAATGTGAGTTGTCTTTACATTCATGGGTACATTGCAAACAGGAACTGCAAACAGTTAATTCGCCGTACTTTTAAGAGTGCCAATGTGCCAAAATGTCAACAAATACAGGCTAAAAACAATGTAACTCTATATACAGTCTGTATTCCATAGCAGTATCCCTCAAATCATTATGGGAACGGTAGTTTCAAAACCTGAAGCATGGGTATTTACCAAACAGAAGTAAGACAACCTTAATAGTCTGCTGAAGTAATTAAACCAGTGCATGTGTGTGTGAGCACTGAGGTATCTATCATGTATCATCCGCCCTTTAGGAGATCTGTCTGTGTGACCCGCCGGTGGTGATGGCACTTGTGGACGGGCCGACGGGGGAAAATGACAATATGATCTGCGTGGCCTATAAACATCAGTTTGACCTGATCAATGAGAGCACTGGAGATGCCTACCGGCTACATCATGTGGACGCCAACAGGGTGAGGCACATGCGCACACATATGTGAAACCCTGGTGGTTTTCTGAAGTGAGACCTTGAGTCAGCCCAGTTAGTCGCTTTATTTACCTGCTGATTACCAGACTGCTTGGGTGAATCAACACATTGTCATTCACAGCAGCAGCTGGGGGAAGAGGCATGAATGAGTAGGCTGGAGGATGAACAGCTGTTCTAATAAACCATCTTACTCTGCTTTAATCATTTCTCCTTTGAAAGAGTGACTAAATACACAGACCGCAGTAGACATCTATCTTTTATTCTGCCTGGATTGTTACCCTGTACCTTGCGGGTATGTGACCTGGTATTATCTGTCATACCTGACCTTTGAATCTTGTTGAAATGATTCTCCTAAACCGACTTGTCTCTGCCTGCAGGTAAATTTTGTAGCAGCCATTGATGTGTATGAAGACGGGGAGGCAGGTCTGCTGCTGTGTTACAACTGTGAGTCTTCCTTTAACTCTGAATATTTTAGATGTTTTTTGGTTCAGGTCTCTGTCTCTGCTGTCAAAGCTGAGCCTTAAGGTTTTTTTCTCTGTGTTTTCTGGAGTAAAAATGATAACACAGCTCCAGAATATTAAGAGTCAGATATGAATTTTGAAAATGCAGCCACCCACTTCAGCTTTTGTTTGCTTTTTTTATGTCTCAATAATAGAACAAATAGATATGAAATTTCTATAAAACAACAGTAAACACATAGTATTTTAAAAAGTTCAACTTGTTTTGTCTGTCTTGAACAGATATTTGCTACTATAAGAAAGTTTGTCCGTTCAACGGCTCCACACCGATGATCCAGTCCAACACCTCCGACTTCCACTTCAGCTGGAACCAGATGCCCAATGCTATTGGTAGGTTACCACGGCAACAATGCTTGGGCCCCACCCAGTCGATGCTGCTGGCCTGGCCGGAGCTTGCTGTCGCCATGGAAACACCATGTGTAGCCACAAGCATCCAATTGGCCGATGTGATTATTTGTGTGCGTGCACGTGTATACGTGTCTGTGTCTGTGTCTGTGCGTGTTCTTATTAATGGAGAAGGTGATGAAAAGCAAATACAAATGGTGCTGAATCTGTGACCCAGACTCAGCTGATAACAAAATGCGCACACAGGCACTCACACACACTGAAATAAGCAATAACAGAGTGTGCTGAGTAATAAAACAAATGTACCAATACGTATTGGAGTGCCTCATTTTGAAAACAGCAGTTAAAGGCACAGATCACCCCAAATCAGAAATACATATTTTTCCTCTTACCTGTAGTGTTATTTATCAATCTAGATTGTTTTGGTGTGAGTTTCTGAGTGCTGGAGATATTGGCCATAGAGATGTCTGCCTTCTCTCCAGTATAATTAAACTAGATGGCACTCGCCTTGGGGTGCTCAAAGCAGCAAAAAAAATAAAATAGAATTTGAAATACTTAACAGCCATGTCTCTTTCCAGACATCATGACCCGTTTACTCAAGATAATCCAGAGACCTTGTTGTGAGCAGTTTCATGTAGGAACTATTTTCTTTCTACGGAACTACACCCATACCTGTATCACTGCACAGAGGGAACTGTGCAGTAGAGCTCTGATTCTCTGCCCAGGCCCAGTTGGCCCCGACCTGACCTGCCAGATTCGGGCCGGGCTGTCTTCTAATTTCCCCCCGGGCTTGAATTGAGTCAGGTTGTCACCAGTTGTTGGTGGTTATTTTTTGTTTTGTTATTGTTTTTTTTTAATGAAACTACAGTTCTCATTTGTAAATGGCAGGAGTTTTTAATGGACTAAATCAAGAGGGAACAAGAGTGACGCAGCAATATAGCAGAAAACCTGGGGTGAGAGAGAGAGTGCACGTGAGAGAAGGATGGGCAATGAGAGAAAGAGAGATAGAGGGGGCTGCAAGGCATCTTGGTTGGCAGTGTTTGCTTCTACCTCCCAAGCAGTGAGACGAAATATGCGTAACATGCAGTGATGAGCGATGATCATCATCATGCGCACTCTACCGGACCTGTCCTTCACAAGATGACAGACCACTGAATTAAGGAAGAGAAGAAGAAGTAGTTGTGCAAGGAAACACGCCAGCCCATAGCCTTCAATATATGAAAATAAATATATTCTATAAAATAGAACATATTTATTACAGTAGAAATTCAGGTTTTTAATCAGACTCAGGCTCAAAACTGCTGCCGTGGTTTGGGTCAAGCTTGGACATAAACTGTGTGGGTTCATGTATGGTTGGGCCTGAATTTTCTGGGCCCAGTCAGAGCACTAGTGTGCAGCAATCTACTCATGGACAAGACATTTGTGCTTATGACGTAAGCATTAATTTATACCTTTTACAGTGTAATTGATGAGCTGTAACATTAGATAGCTTAGTGGTGTTAGGTGAGCTAGCAGTGGATGAAGACTTCCTTCTGTGCAGTGATACGGTTGGTGGTTGTAGTTCAATAAAAAGAAAATAGTTCCTACATTAAACTGCTCACAACAAGGTCTGTAGATTATCTTGAGTAACCAGGTCATGATTTTCATCACTGAGTTTTTCAAATGTATGTTTCTGGCGCTTTGAGCACCACAAGCTGAGTGCCATCTACAGTACAGGCCAAAAGTTTGGACACACCTTCTCATTCAATGCGTTTTCTTTATTTTCATGACTATTTACATTGTAGATTCTCACTGAAGGCATCAAAACTATGAATGAACACATGTGGAGTTATGTACTTAACAAAAAAAGGTGAAATAACTGAAAACATGTTTTATATTCTAGTTTCTTCAAAATAGCCACCCTTTGCTCTGATTACTGCTTTGCACACTCTTGGCATTCTCTCCATGAGCTTCAAGAGGTAGTCACCTGAAATGGTTTTCCAACAGTCTTGAAGGAGTTCCCAGAGGTGTTTAGCACTTGTTGGCCCCTTTGCCTTCACTCTGCAGTCCAGCTCACCCCAAACCATCTCGATTGGGTTCAGGTCCGGTGACTGTGGAGGCCAGGTCATCTGCCGCAGCACTCCATCACTCTCCTTCTTGGTCAAATAGCCCTTACACAGCCTGGAGGTGTGTTTGGGGTCATTGTCCTGTTGAAAAATAAATGATGGTCCAACTAAACGCAAACCGGATGGGATGGCATGTCACTGCAGGATGCTGTGGTAGCCATGCTGGTTCAATGTGCCTTCAATTTTGAATAAATCCCCAACAGTGTCACCAGCAAAACACCCCCACACCATCACACCTCCTCCTCCATGCTTCACAGTGGGAACCAGGCACGTGGAATCCATCCGTTCACCTTTTCTGCGTCTCACAAAGACACGGCGGTTGGAACCAAAGATCTCAAATTTGGACTCATCAGACCAAAGCACAGATTTCCACTGGTCTAATGTCCATTCCTTGTGTTTCTTGGCCAAAACAAATCTCTTCTGCTTGTTGCCTCTCCTTAGCAGTGGTTTCCTAGCAGCTATTTGACCATGAAGGCCTGATTGGAGCAGTCTCCTCTTAACAGTTGTTCTAGAGATGGGTCTGCTGCTAGAACTCTGTGTGGCATTCATCTGGTCTCTGATCTGAGCTGCTGTTAACTTGCCATTTCTGAGGCTGGTGACTCGGATGAACTTATCCTCAGAAGCAGAGGTGACTCTTGGTCTTCCTTTCCTGGGTCGGTCCTCATGTGTGCCAGTTTCGTTGTAGCGCTTGATGGTTTTTGCGACTCCACTTGGGGACACATTTAAAGTTTTTGCAATTTTCCGGACTGACTGACCTTCATTTCTTAAAGTAATGATGGCCACTCCTTTTTCTTTAGTTAGCTGATTGGTTCTTGCCATAATATGAATTTTAATAGTTGTCCAATAGGGCTGTCGGCTGTGTATTAACCTGACTTCTGCACAACGCAACTGATGGTCCCAACCCCATTGATAAAGCAAGAAATTCCACTAATTAACCCTGATAAGGCACACCTGTGAAGTGGAAACCATTTCAGGTGACTACCTCTTGAAGCTCATGGAGAGAATGCCAAGAGTGTGCAAAGCAGTAATCAGAGCAAAGGGTGGCTATTTTGAAGAAACTAGAATATAAAACATGTTTTCAGTTATTTCACCTTTTTTTGTTAAGTACATAACTCCACATGTGTTCATTCATAGTTTTGATGCCTTCAGTGAGAATCTACAATGTAAATAGTCATGAAAATAAAGAAAACGCATTGAATGAGAAGGTGTGTCCAAACTTTTGGCCTGTACTGTACGTAATTTAATTGTAGTGGAGATAAGGTAGATGTCTCGACGGCTGATATCTCCAACACTCTGCAACTCACACCAAAACAATCTGGACTGATAAAAAGCACTACAGGTCAGAGAAATATGTTTTTGATTTGGGGGTGAACTGTTCCTTTAAGCTACTCTAATCAATGTTTTTATTAAAAATGAACTAGAAATATGTGTAATGTGAAAGTTGTCACTTTAAGTGACAAACCCACCATATTTCAAGCTGTTTTCTGCAGATAAAAAGCTGATTAAGCCACTATACACCAGCTGCTCAGCACCAAACTACAGACAGACAAAGTTAGCAACTAGCTGGTGAGCATAGTGGAGCACTGAGCAGCTAAAGAGTCAGATATTGTCCTCAGGAGTTAGTGGAGACCAAGCAGAGCTAATAACAAAATGAATATGGGACTTACACTCATCACAACTCTAAATGAATGCTAATGTTGCTCTGTGTCTGCTGATTGTTTGAGGGCTTCACAGAATTTTATTTTACTTATCAACACTGGTGCCCACGCTGTGCCGCAGTTCACTTTCACCTTGTTCTACGTTTATACAGAGGAGAGGGAAAGCGACCGGAGCTCCTAAGAGAGATGCTCAGCTCGATTGTTGTGTCTCTCATTTTTCTGCATATATCATCGGCTAATGATGGCATTTCAAAATGCCATTCTGAGTGAAAGTATTAAATGTCTCGTATTGCGGGAGTTGGGCAGTTGAGCCAATTAAAAAAAATAATAATAATTTCTTGTTTTTCCAGTGAAACTTTGTGAAGTAATGGAGGGGGGGGGGGGTCTCTCACCCCCTGTTGATCATTTGAAGCTGGTTTGATCAATGCTCATGTTGTCTTTGCAGTTTGTGCATTCCCTTACATCCTGGCATTCACAACGGACTCCATTGAGATCCGACTGGTGGTCAATGGCAACCTTGTGTACACAGCAGTGGTCCCAGAGCTACAGTTGGCTGCTTCACGGGTCAGTATAATTGAAAGTGAACACAGTGTCCATGCCCTGCTTTAATCAGCAATGTGCACTGCAGCTTTGTAGATGTATTTTTTTTATTTATATTTCAAATATATGTAAGTAAGGTGATTAGGTAGTAGAAATGCATCATGGGTGTACCTACAACAAACTTTTTTTTCACTAAAGCAAGAGGCCTTTTAGCTTGTGAGGGTCGGTGTTAGACGGCCTCGCTCTGCTCTGCGTTATAGAAGTAGCTGTCTCAGCTTTCTCATTTAAATCAATTGTTATTACCCTGGTGGGAAATATGGCTGGCAATCTGCATGGTTAGAAATCAATAATACACTCATAATTCATACACAAAGATAAGTTTTAAAAGACCACATTGCACCTGTCATATAACAACACTTCTATCCTCATTAGATCTCTGTTTTTTCTTTGTTTCTTTCCATGATTCACCTTCTGCCTCTGTCCTTCTTGTCTTCTTAATATTTCTCGGTATCCTCACATGTTCGCCACGTCTCTTTACTGACCTCATTCCCTCTCTGTGTCCTCCCGTTTTTCCACCCACAGTCAGACATCTATTTTGTTTCGTCGGCTCCGGTGAGCTCAGCCTCCAACTGCAGTTCAAGAGACACCAGCTCCCAGAGTTCCCCGCAGACGCCCACCGGCTACGAGATGCCCGTGTTCCCTTCGCCACTCGGTGATGGTAAGCCCCGCATAGCAAAATAACCAGAGGATGTTGATAGTAGTGCTTCGGTATTAAAAGGTTTTCAAATGTCAACTTTGCCTGCAGACCTGTTTGAGTCTGGATGCTGCCCTGAACAGATCCATTTCCATAAACTTGTCTCAGCAGAATGGTTCATTGCAGCCGCAGCCTTTCTCCTCCAGAGTTCTTACTTTCTCATGGTCAAATCATGTGTCATTTTCTGGGGCAACATGTTTAATTGCATCATTATTACCTCATATTTTCTCACTGTACATTCTGACATAATTTAGTTTTATGACAAAATGTCCTCATTGTTGGCACTAATCAGTGTGATGCTGGGAAAGATCCAGATCTTCACAAAGTTTTCTTTGTGTAGCTTCCTTTTTTTTACGATAACTTATATAACCCTACTGATAATTTGGAATATTTTAGCCCATTAACTACAAATCTTGTTAACTTAACATTATGTAGTAGCTGACCATTTTCCATTTGCTTCAGTTTATTTCAGTACAATATGAGAATCAACTTGCGGCAATTTTAAAGTCCCAAACAACCTGGTTTAAAATCCCTACTGTTTAAAAGTATAAGTTTTTCTCTATGACATTAAATGTTCATAAAAAATAAGCAACAATTATCAGATTTATCTGAAGAAAAAACAAATAGTAATGCAAATAATTATACCAGAATGCACAGTACCCGTACAAACAGCTGTAAATGATACCAATATGTACAGTATCAGTACAAACAACAGTAGACACAGTGGAATTATACCAATATGCACACGTAAACAGTCCCGATTCTAGAATAAACGGTACTGTATGGAAACGATGCAGCCTGTTGGAGTTCAAATTGAATGGGAAACAAAGTTCAGTGTTCACTTAGCTGGGCGTAACTTAGCTGGGCGATGTCCGTCGATAGCTGCCTCCGTGAGAAGAGAACAGAAGGAAGGAACTGTCCGAGGGCTGCCGTAGAATGGCAATGAGGATGTCAGCCGACCAACACTCGCTATGCGGTCCCTAGTTGCGGCGATTTGCGATGCTGGCCAGCTAGGAATTAACTAGCAGCCAGTACAGTACAGTACTCTCTGGTCTAGCTAACATTTAGCCGTGTTACTTACTGATCCATTAGAAAGAAAGCTAGCTGGACATTGGTTATGAAGCCTCTTTGGTCACAGAACTCCCTCCATCTCTTGAACGCCTGACTGAGGTTTACTCTTGTTTTTCCTCTTCTTTTATCACTCTCCTTTTTGCTCTTCTTTGCCTCCTCAGACAGAGGGGCTCGTTTTCTTTTTCTAGGCCGTTTTTCACTTGTCTCCAAACTTTGTCTGTCTACCATTGTGCTCGTGACTCAACTATCTCATGCCCAACTCCTCATAAGGACTCGCTCCGGTCCCTGATTGGCTGACCAACCAATTTCGTAATACATGACGCATTTCCTGCCGTAAAGCCGATTTTTTTCCGCGAAATTTCGGCACCGGTGGCAGAAGCTTGCCAAGATTGCAAAGCCACTAAGTAACCTATGTAAATGCTGATAGTCTGATTTTACTGTGGCCACTACCCTGTGCAACCCACATTATTTTCATAATGATATATTTAGGAAAAGATGCTGTCTGTTGCCTCTTTAAAGAATGTGGCTGGTGTTATTTTATATATTTCTTGATGTCAGAAATCCCATTGAAAGACCAAAAACCAGGATGTGATGGTTCATATTTTTGCACCTTATCTGCTCTTTCATTGGTTCCTTACTGAGGATGTAAAGCTTAAGAATACGATTTTTTTTCCTGAAACAGATGGGCAGTGTAGTTTCTACCAAACATTTTTCAAACAGCAGTAAAATGTGATTGTTGGGGACTATTTTCAGCAGCGGAATATTATGCAATTTGCACTTTACTCTGCATTTACAGCACCAGGAGGGTGTCAGTGGTATTGACTCAAAATAAACAACAGCAGCCGTGTTCATTGTAATGAAGAAACATGTCACCCAAAGCAACAGTGTGTTAATAATAGTTATGGAAAACAATGGAGCTCTGTGGCACAGGGGAATAAGATAAATCAGGCTTTGAATATACAGGCAGTACTTGTTAGTTTGTTATTAGGATGAATTCCTTGTTGGTTTTAGTCTTTTTATGGGATTTGTTGATAACAAGAAAAATATAGAACAGCCAGCTCTTTTGGATTTTGGAGCATCCTTGAGCACACCAGTTTTCAAAACAGTCTAATTTAAATGCAGTGATAACATGAGAAACATCAAGACAACAAAATATCTACAGTGGTCATTTACGTGACGCTTGCAAATTGATTTTTTTTTTTTTTTTTTTACACAATAGTTAAACCTGCAATATGTAATTTTCTGCTGCTAGGGGTATGTCAGTCAAAACAATAACAAAAGAGCAATGTCATTGTTTCAGTCAGTTTCTCCTAGTTGAGATTCCTTCAGTGTGTATTGTTCAACAGGTTTTTACCAGGAGCCAAATTATCCTCACGTCTCCTCCTCTCCAAAATAAACCAGACCAGGTGATTTTAATCAGTAAAAACACGGAATAAAGCAGTTTCACATTAGAAGTCTGTGTTTCTCTGACACTGTTCAGCTTGTCTAGCCCAGCTCCTGCTAATGTATGATACCCTTTTTTTCTGATAACTTGAGACACAGACATTTAAGAGGTTTTTACCAGTAGCCGAATTATCCGTAGAGGTCTGTTTCTCTCCAAAACAAACGGACCAGGTAATTTAAACCAGTAAAATTACTGAATAAAGCACTTTCACCTTAAAAATCAGTGTTTCTCCAAAGGTGTTTGGTGCAGCAGGGGTTGGAACCAAGTTGTCACTAATGTTTGCGCAGCTTGTTTCTCTGATAACTTAAGATCCAGACATCTAAATCAAAAAACCTTTATTTGGTTGAAATATATAGTTAAAAATGACCAGGATCCAGAAAGTGCATCTTAAAAATGTGGCTTAAAACTGCTGGCAAACAACCACAACCCTGACGCATGTGCATAGCAGACGTGACAGCAACCAAATCACATGGACCATGTACTTGATTAAAAATTACAGATTTCTCTGGGCTTGTACATTGTTGGAAACATTTGGGATAATATAAGTACACAACTTAACAAATTAGATAGCTTAACACTGGTCTGTCAGTTGTTTTTAGACATTTTAATGTGAAAAAGTTACATACCATGTCTTTAAAGGAATGGAAACCTGTGGCTTCAATATAAAAATTGTTGTCAGTTATGGAAAATTACTTTGTAGTTAAAGGGCTGAAACATTCAAATGCATCGCTATGATCCTTTCAATTCTTAAAAACCACAAATCACAAAGAGGAACAGACTAATCACCCACATACCTCCCACCACCACCGCTATTCATGGCACACAATAAGTGTCCTCAGAGGCAGAGAAGGCTTTCAAGGATGATTGAGGATCAATAAGAGCCCCTCCCTCCCACCTCCATCTTTTATTGTGTATTTGACCATTCGGAGTCTCCCCTCTCCCCCATGGCTGACCTCTTCCAGACTGATACAACTGCCTCAGAATGGAGCATATTTGTAATATGCAGCTGTCGTTAATGACATACAGGTTTGTCATTCGCCATGAGCACAACAGACTGATGTGATGTTTCAAGGCAATGTCAACTTCTCGTTGTCCATTAGACTTTGTAGCTATTGAAAGGGGCACAAAGTCATCCTCAGATGCATCCATGTAATTCTGACGGCTGCAGGGAAGGACGAGGCTTGAAGAAAACAATTATTAAAATGTCCTGGTTGTGTGCGCCATCAAGGCAGTCCTTCTCTGCTTTCCTGATGGGAGCGGGTATTTACAGGTCCCATTAAGGCTAACAAGGAGGACGGTTCGGCTGTTGCTGCTGCAATTAGCCGAGGAAGAGCTTTATGCTTTTTGGGGCTGGTTCGGGTAATCATTTCTCTCAAAGGGATTATCATTTTCTTTCCTGTTTTAGCTGGTTATGCATATGACTCTGCATCACTGGGAGTCGTACACCTAACAGAATCCTACTGTGTGTGTGTGTGTGTGTGTGTGTGTGTGTGTGTTGAAATGTATGTTACAGTACTGTGTGTGTTCAGTTTGTGTAACCCTTTTCTTCATCCCTGGTTCAGATTCTATACGGATCCCCTATGGTACCAAGCTTTCCCTGTACATGTCTAAGGACGCCGAAGGTACTGCAGGATTTTCCCACAACTCGTCCTCAGCTCATGACAATAATGCTCATAATGCTGCCCCACTAACATGCACATGCTCCCAGAGTGTACCACCCTGTCTGCTCCAAGGCGGCATGTTGACTTGAACGTTGGTTGAATGTTAAGTGAACATTATGTCTTCCCCATCCCCCCCACCCCCCTTTTCTGTTTTAACTAATTAAAGCATTAGTGCGAGGGCAGAGTGAGAGGGTAGAAGAGGTGATAGAGTGCAAAGTACAAAAAAAGTGAGGCAGAGGAGATAACGCCGATCAAAGCGGTGGGTTTTAAAATTACTGAGGGGGGGAGATGCAGATAAGGTATGCATGAGTGCGGGAGAAAAGGGAGGGGTTGTGTACAAGCAGGAGGTTGGGAGAGAAGGAGGGAGAAAAGGGAAAGAGGGAAGGAGAAGACACGTCTGCCGCAGCATGATTTACAGATTGCACTGTCGCCATGGAGACTTTTGTCAGCCCTCTCTTCGATCCAAAGTGGTAGTCCAAACAGCGGTGTCACAATCTAAGGGGGGGGGGGGGGGGGGGGGGGGGGGGGGGGGGGGGGGGGGGGGGGGGGGGGGGGGCGTAGGCTGAAGAAAAGGGAGAGAGGTGGAAGAGGTGCTGACAAAAATCCCATCTTCTAACTGCCTGTGCGCCTGCCGTATCTGCTCCTTGGGGAGGGTTTCATCTGATGTAATCGCATCAGTAATGTGAACAAGATGCTGTTACTGATGTGGCTGCTAGCCGCCACCTCGATCCACTGGCTCCAACATGCGCCAAAGACCTGCAGCGAAACATCTCTCCGCTGTGGAGGATTCGACTTCAATTAGTGCTGAAAACAACCCCAATATTCATATTTAATTAATTCGCCAGTGTGATGCAGTGTGACACTTCCCCTGGTCCAGAAACGCACGTGGAATATATCGATCTCTGTGACTATATATTCCAAATAACTGCATGCTTTCCCTGCATTTTGGTTTATTGCCATTTCTGCTGTGTGACAGCGCAGGTACAGGAGAGAAGATCTGTGACAACACTAACACGGTGTACCTGTCAAACATCAGCAGTGACCCTCTATTTTTCTCCGTGGCTCTTTGCTCACCTCTCACCCGCTGACATTTCAGATGAGACAGTCCTCTTTGTGCGCCGTAGCCTCACCACATTGATTCAGTCTCATCCATGTTTCCATCAGCCTGCCTCGGTGGAGCAGAGCGAGGCTGCCGAACTGCAATACTGCTCCCTGATGGCACAATCGGGCACTGCAGGTTTGGCACGCTGCAGATTGTGCCATTTGAAAAACTCCAAACATCCATTTACTGTGTCCCAAACAGACTTTAAGCGTTTATAGTCTCGGCTGAATAATGGATGGTCTGCTATAAATGGCTACAAGTGAACAGTTATATCACATTAGCTCTCTGCGGTAAGGATGATTAATTTTAAGATCACATGCTGTTTCAGTAAATAGGACTATTAATCACTTTTGAGTGTCTTCATTTGAAAATGGAGGTTTGGCTCTATTGTATCAGCTCGTCAACCTCCAGACTCGAAGTCACAAAAAAAGTTATTATGCATATGTTAATTTTTAGATTGATCCCTTACATTCTAGGCGGCCATTGTTTACCATTACTTTTACTGAGCTATGAACGTGGCTTGCAGAGACTTGAAACTTGCTTGAGGTTAGTTGTCCATCACAATAAACACTTTTGTTTATTTGTTTATTTATTTATTTATTTGTGCTGTTGCAGTCACTCTCTGTTTTGATTACCGTCTCTAATGGTGCATTCAAGGACTCTTATTAAACACATAAAATGACCAGTTTACATTATGCTTTCAAAAATATCTGTTTGCTGTTTGTGTTGTGGGTTTGGTTTTCCGTCAGCACAGCACATGGGAGCAATGCTTTAGTGAGCCGAATATTAGAGGGTCCTTGAATGCAACGCCAAGGGGCAAGGGGGTGTTTAAAATCCACAGTTTGACATTTTGGGAAATATGCCATTTTCTTTTCTTGCAAGGGATTACCTAACAACTCTCATGTCTTTCTGGTAAAGATATTTAAAGGGGCAGTTCACCCCAAAATTAAATATACATATTTTTCCTATTACCTGTAGTGCTAGTCATTAATCTAGTTATTAATCTAGATGGTTTTGGTGTCAGTTGCTGGGTGTTGGAGATATCAGCCGTAGAGATGTCTGCCTTCTCTCCAATATAATGGAACCAGATGGTACTTGGCTTGTGTTGCTCAAAGTGCCAAAATCATACATCTGAAAAACTCTACAGCAATGACTCTCTCCAGAAATCATGACCCAGTTACTCAAGATAATCCACAGCCCTTGTTGTGAGCATATTCATGTAGGAACTATTTTCTTTCTACCGAACTACACCCACCAACCGAATCACCACGCAGAAGAAAGCGTGGTACTCATGGGTGAGAGGTTCGTACTTGTGACAGAACAGTGTCAGTGTGCTAGCAGTAGATGCACGCTTCCTTCTGCACAATGATGCAGTTGGCGGGTGTAGTTCGGCAGACAGAAAATAGTTCCTGCATTAAACTGCTCACAGTAAGGTCTGTGGATTATCTTGTGTAATCGTGTCATGATTTCTGGAAACAGACATGGCTTTAGAGTTCTTCAAATATATTTTTTTTGCTGCTCTGAGCACCACAAGCTGAGTGCCATTTAGTACCCTTATGTTGGAGAGAAGGCAGACATCTCTACAGCAGATATCTCAAATAATCAGCAAGTCACACTTAACACTCTAGACTGATAAACAGCACTCCTGGTAAGAGGAAAATATGTATTTTGATTTTGGGGTGAACTGTCCCTTCAGAAAAGTAGTTAGCTTAGCATAAAGGAGCAGAAGGAAACAGCTAGCCCTAGTTCATGCCTATAAACATTAGCTAGGTAAGCAAATGTTTTCTGACAGATAAATACCAGGTGCATGGACAGAAGTATTAATGCACCTCTCTACCGGACAACAGTGAGAGTGGTATCCATCTTCTCATCTAACTCTGGGCAGAAAATAGTCACTACTACCAACTGCATCATATTGCAACAATAATGTCATTTTGGCAAAGAGTAAATAAAAAATTGCAATGACAAAATGTTCAGAGGGTGCATGGACACTCTAAAAGGATATGTTTTAAATAGATATTTCTGTAGCTAATGAGCTCAAACATGCAAAGACACTTTAGTGCTTCAGGCCAGGAGTTTTCATGCATTTCTCATTAGCTGCCACACATTCCTCACCCTTTATATGTGTCTCTTTCCAACACTCTATTCCCATCTTTTGCTCTTTTTATCTCTCGTTTCATGTCTTCTCATGTCACCTGCCTCCTTCCGGCTTTCTGACTTTACCCACTTGCTCTCCTCTCCATCCTTCTCTCCTTTGGGATTTTGTACTTCACAGGTGAATCGTCATGCAAGCACATATTCAAGATCCCTCTGTGTAACTTGGTGGGACGCAGCATAGAAAGACCACTCAAGTCCCCTCTGGTTAACAAGGTGCTGACGACGCCGGCCCCCACCATGGTACCCCCGACTCCCCTCATCTCTGCCACACACTCGCTTTCGCTGTCACGCATGGAGATCAAAGAGATAGCCAGCCGCACACGGAAGGAGCTGCTGGGTAAACGCCAAATTACAAATTCACCTTATGTAATGTATTAAAGCAACAGTATGACATCTTGGGGAATGTGCTCAGTAGCTTTCTTGAGTTAGATGAGAAGATCAATAACGTACTTTGTTTCTGTGTGCTAAATATGAAGCTACAGCTAGCAGCCAATATGTTGAAATATGAGTTAAGCCCTTAGTTCAAGTTCTGGATGTCTACTGGATCAAGTAGCCTCTCTAAAGTTAAAGGAATAGTTTGACATTTTCTGGACTATACGTAATAGCTTTCTTGGTGAGAGTTAACCTAAAAGATTAATACCTTGTCATTTCTGTAGGCTAAATATGAAGCTATAGCTAGCAGCAGGTTAGCTTAGCTTAGCATAAAGACTGGAATCAGAAGGAAACAGCTAGCCTGGCTCTGCCTAAAGGCCCAGACACACAATATGGACGTCAAGGAACTAGCCGTGACAAAAGCCAACTGTTCCGTCGACTCACATCGCCTTTGTCTCTGCTAAGTTGCACATGAACACACCCCAAAGGCTACAGCCAGCAGCCAACCACCACATACGTTCGGGAACTGCCCATTGGTTCGACATCCCATTGTTCCGACCATATTAAACCCATTGTTCCTAAGTCCGTTCCGAAATCATCATGATGCCCTGTGGTTAAGGTCTGGTTAGGTTTAGGCACAAAAACCACTTGGTTAGGGTCAGGAAAGGATCATGGTGTGGGTTAAAATGAAAAAGAAAGTGACAAACACATAAACCATGAGCCTGCTCCGCCTCAAGTCGGTCGCGGCGCACCATACGCCCGCTGCAAGCCGTTCAGCACCGCGGACAGTCGGACTAATGGGCTGTCGAACCAATGACATGGACCCATACGTTCTGCGTGTGTGAGAGGAAATAATTCTCCATACCAGCAGACAGCGGTAGTCTGTATTCGATATTCGAAAAGGGAAACCGGAAGACTGTCATGATGCTAGTTAGCCAGTTAACATTAACAGCACAATCGGATGTTGAAAGAACAAAGCATATTTACCACGCATTAACGAACAATAACAAACAATTGAGAATCTGAAAATAATAATCTTGAGTTTGTTTCGATCTCAGGCCCTCTTGACTTTAGTCATTTGCTTAATTTCTTCATTTCTCTTTACGTGCACGAAGTGATTTCAAACACCAATGGGCTATCCGTTGCCAAATCGGCAAAATAAAAAAGCAGACAAGGGCCATGACGGCCAATGGTGCACAACACATTGCAAAGACTAGGGCGGCAGACGCTCATGGACAACCCAACATTGACCGACGGCCAACTATCAGCTTTGTATGCCATGGTCCTAAAGGTTACAAAATCCATCAGTACCTCTAAAGCTCACTAATTAACATGTTATTTACACTTGGCCACAAATTGCTGTTTTTTTTGTTTTGTTTTAATGGATTAAACAAATGAGATATAATGTGTTAATTATTGAGTTTTAGAGGTGCTGGTCGGGAGATTTTGGTACGTTCATAAAGAGCCAGACCACCTTGTTATATCTACTTCCAGTCTTAATGCTAAGCTAAGCTAACTAGCTGCTAGCTGTGGCCTTATACTAAAGAGACAGATATGAGACTGGTATTAATCTTCTTATCTGACTTTTGTCAAGAAAGACAATAGGCGTGTTTCCAAAACTATTCCTCTAAATCGTACATTCTCTGTTACCTCATACCGGTGAAGGCTTGACGGAGGAACCAAGTGGGAAGTCAGACAGTGGAACAGTCAAACAGAGGAAAATGAGCAAGAAGAACACAGAGGAAGACCCCAAAGCACGGCCACTGACGTCAACAAACAGTGACAGGTGACACATTCAACAACAGCAGCATTGTACATTTAACAGTTTCCTGATGTGACACAGACTTGAGCCATGTGTTTCTGTGCACAACAGGTTAGCCTCAGAGTCTCTTGAAGCAGACCTGGATGTCCAGCTGCATTGTTCGTCCAGTTCGGAGCCCGAGCCAGAGAAGGTGGTGCTGCAAGCAGAGAGCCCGCCTCTCGCCAGCGCCTTCGCCCTCTCCACATCCTTCGAAGAAGATGTCCTGGACCTAAAGTGAAGACAATCCCACCGTGCACTTCTCTGCCCGCTCACTCCCGTACTGTCACCGTTATTTTATTGTTTTGGTTGGTTTGCTTTTAATTTGTTGTTTGTTGCATTCTTTTTTGTTGTTGTTTTTATCCCTGTATCTTGGGTCTCCCCATTTATCCGACAAGATGGGTGCAGTGGGAGTGAAAAGACGTGTCTGTGTGCGTGTTTTTCGCGAGCAGTCCCTCAGCCCCTGTGTGTTGGGTGTTTGTGTTGCCCCGCAGCAAATAACCCAAAGAGGCGGTGAGGTTGTGTACGATGCCGTGGTTTATTCAGAGTTCTGCAACAGCCTTGAGATAATGTTAACGGTTTGATCCCAAACCACAAACTGAATGTAAATCTGCGCACCAAGGCACGATAAAAATCTCTGCGTTCACAATGCCCTCTGAAGTTGCTAAAGCTTAAATATGTGTTGTATATTATGTGATTATTTCCGATCCACTTTCAAATGTTGTATGGTATGCATATGTATGTGTACATCTGTTTATACATAAAAATGCATACACAGTGGCAGGTGTGCATGCCTGTCATGCCTGTGATGCATATTTATAGATATATTATAAAAAATCCATTTTATTCCCATATTTAGTAAAAGATGATGTTTTATTCTCTCTGCACATATTAGTCCTTGTTCTTCTCCTTATTCACAGTATACAGGTAGACAGGGCTGGAGGCAAAGTCTCCCACAAGTGCCATTTCCCAGCATCCTCCACTGAACTACACCTCTAACAGCCACCGTATTCTGGTGTCTGACAGTAGCAGCCATGATTGTAGTCCACATTTGATTACTATGGTGACCCCCACAGCTCCATTAAGTTGGATAAATTCACTTACTGGAGGCACCCTCAGAGCCACATGCACTCAACATTTTACCCTATAAGAATGAGACGTCCTTAAATCTGCATGACCTGCCTTTGCTGCATGTATTGTGACTTAAAAAAGCTTCTTTGGAAACCACAAGGTCTGCGACATCATACCAAACATAGCAGCATAAAGCAAACCACAACCTGAGACAACAGAAGAAGTGTGGATGTTTTACTAGACTGTCATGTGTGATGGCCTGAGGGTCAATAGTATAGCAAAGGAATTAAGACAAAACAATCAATTTAAGACAAAAAATATTTATAAAATAAAGTATATTGTCATAAACTGAAATGATAAAAGCAGAATTTTGTCATAACGTAAAAAGCTAAAACTAACTTGGCTGTGAAGTGTGACATATTTTAAATATTTGATCTTTACTCTAAGTGGAAGGAGCAAAAAGGTGATGAATTTTAAGTGGTCTTCAATATTTAATCATTAATGTAGACATAAAAAGTATATTGTTTACATTACACAATAAACCATTTGAATGACACACAGAAAACATACTCTGAATTTAGATAGTTGTGCCTTTAAGGAAATTGCTGTATTTGCTCAACTAAAATTAACACCAAGACATAAGTAAAATTAAAGAAGAAGAAAATAACTATCCATGAAAACTAACTAAAAGTGAAAAGCATAAAAAAGGGGAAACACTATAAAAGAAATAACCCTATTAGGCATTCAGCAGCGAGCACAGAAGCCTTGCTGGTGTCTACTCCGGATGTCCAGTAAAACTCTGATTTACAGCTGGGACCCCAGGTGCAAGGCGAAGCCATGAATTATGGGCCAATTTACGGGACGCTGGTGACACTCCAATTTTCTTTAATTCCCATACCATCCCATGTGTTCACTGATAAACAGGTATACATGTCTTGAAGGCCAACACACCTGCACATAGTTTAATTTACTGATCAGTTAACTCGCGGGTATTAGGTCAGAGCCTGACAGCAGTTATTTGCAGTCATAAGCAAACATTCACTGACTGTTCTAACTTGACAAGGAACACTTTATTCCCATTTGTTCTATTTTGTCCCTGACATCCTGACTTTCATTATTATTATGTAAATTAGAAATCAGTCCTGTTTCAAACTCTAACAGGGTGATCTCAAAGGGATACTCCAGTGATTTAGTATTGCATTTCCATGAAGTTGTAGGGCTCAGAAGACATATGTCTGAAGCCCAAACAGAAAGTTCCCACTAGAACTGCAGAAAAAACTGTGCAACCTTTTTAACAGGCTGAGTAGTAGTCAGTAGTATCTTCCTCATTTCTGGCACCAAACTACTTCAACACAGTGCAAAAACTGAAGTTAAACCTTAAAATGTTCAGCTTATTTGGTACAACATATGTTCCAAAATATTAAGTGTAAACCAGGATTTTCCCCACATTCAAATTAATGGAAGGAGTGCTCACAGAGTGGCTGCCATCACAAGCAGAGTAGGGTTGAGTTGCTATCACCATGGCAACCATTAATTGCACGTGTGTCAAGTTTAGTGTAAAGTACGAGCCAGAAAACAGGGTTCGTAAACAGCAGAAAGCTGCATGGAGCCTAGAGATACAGTGGATCACATTGTCATCGCATCTGAAAAAGGGCAAAAATTAGCGCATCCACCCAGGTGTCGTATTATCGTCACTGTTGATCTGAGCTGATCAGAGCTGGAACCAATGAATACCCAAGACTACTGCAGAGTCATTTCTTCCAGGAATGAATGCTGATTGTCTTCCCATTAAATACAAAAGCCAGATGTTAGTGGATTTTTAGTCCAGTGGGAAAATCTCTGCAGTGTCACGGGAGCTTTATTACTGATAAACACGGGTTTAAAAAACACATTTTAACATTTAACCTGCTATCTCAACTCCTTTTATTGCTTCCTGCCCACCTTTTGAATCCCTAGATGGTGACCAGTCTCACCCAGGAGTCCCTAGCAGTTAACTACAGTTGGTGGGTTCTTAATGGTCCTGATGCCCACTAGGGGTCGCCAAAGCTTCAGGGAGAGGTTGTGAGGCCTTCATGATTTAAAGAGGTGCTGGAAAATATTTATATGTGTACAACAGGCCTATATCTTAGCATTTCATTCATTTCTGTAGAGTCAACTCAATGAAATTTTTATTTTTAAGGTTTAGATTACCATTTAAAATGTGAAATTAAAAAAGGTGACAGGATAAGGGCACAGTTAAGACCTGAACACATGTTATAATCCACAGAGCCTTCTATATTTGCTTAACAGCTACATCCTGCATGAGAAAAGTACACCATTAAAACAACCAAAGAGCTAATAGAACAATAGCAAAGTGTCAGGGAGAAGGAAAACAAAAAATAAAATAAATCATAACATCATACAGACTGATAATTGTATAGGAATTTAGTGAAACTTGAATACACAAATGTCCTGCAGTTATTGCATTCACTGTCTGAGTTAAATGTACAGATTATCAGTTGTTCTGTACTGTTATGTTTATGCATTGAATATAAAATTAAATATCCATTAAGTATGTCACTTAGTTAGGTCAATTAAGGGAAAATTTGGGGAACTACTGCTCTGTCTCACATAAGGCTTTAAGGCAGTTCAACACAGCTTTTAGTGCTAACAGCAATAACACATGGACGCATAGTCATAGACACAGACACATGCACACACACAAACTAATCTCCTTCCTAGACATCAGCTGTTTTACCTTTATTCCATCTAAGACAACTCCTTCTCCATACACTTAAGCTTATATAAATCTTTAAACAATCATTTCAACACCTTTCATTGTTGAAACTATTTGCTGCACCCTTTTCTCATTCCCTACTATTACAACTCTTCAAACTCTGTTCAGCTGCTCCTTCATAAAACGTTAAGCCAGGAATCCAGTTTAGCTCTCAGCCATCCATCAAGCAATATAGTTCAGCTTCTGGCTCTCAGAGCAATGCTGCTCAGCACCCTGACATATGTGAAGCAGTAGAACTTAGTGTCAGCTTTTCAGCAGCCGGAGAGCAAACTGCAATTCCTCCAGAAATTTAATTCTTGAGTATAAACATACTTCTTCTTTGTATTAAGCACTGAGGAAGTTACATCAGTCCTGTGAGTCAGTGTTAGTGTTGAATCTAAAATGAAACAGTGAATAATTAACACAAAACAGTCAGTTAAACTAAAAAAAAAGGAACCAGTGGTAGGTTGGGTGACAAACTGGGAGCAGTGGTTTTGACTATGCTAATGTAGGTATGAGAGCACCTCGATGTGGTGGTTTCACAACACAGCAGCTTTCAGATCTTGCATGAGCCTCCTCCTCCTCCTCCTCCTCCTCCTCTTCTCCCCTCACGCCCCTCCTCTGTTCTCCTCCCTGCCTGTCTCAGTGTGAACCCCTCCAACACTATAACAAAACTCAGAAAAACTAAAAAGGGAAGGAGAAGAAGAACGGGATGGGGGGGATTTTTTTTTTACAAAGGTACTCTTCTTTCGTGTTTATTACTCCAAATGAGTGGGTGACTGGGGAATGTCTGGCAGTTACAGTTTGTGACACTGCTTCTCCCACTTATGATGTTCCTATTTCTCCTGTATTTCTGTCAAGTACTCTTTGTTTCTACCTCCCCTTGGCATTTTCACTGTTTTAGTTTGTTTTTTTTTTTTGTATTTGAATCTATATTTACTGTTTAGACTGTTGCTGAACCTCTCTGTGATATCAAAACGAAAGAAAATTAACAAAAAAAACACCAAGTGTCTTAAAATATTGTATCGCCATCGTTTTTAATGCCAAGTACTACTTGTAAATGTTTGTGTATCAAATGTGGCCTCAAATGAAACTGAACTATATTATTATTATTATTAATAATATTATTATGATTATTATTTGAGCAATTATTTTAAACAAGTGCTGTAGACCACTGCTGTGAAAGTAGTCGATTCTGTTCATTGATATGTAATAAATATTTATGGAATTTGAACTGTTTGACTTTTTTTTTTCTTTTCTTTTTTTCTAAGTGTTGTATTTTACTAATCATAGGCCAGCAGGAAATATTAAACACTGTAGGACTACCAACAGGGCTGTCAGTGACCAGTGAGTCACGAGGCACAGAGTTGCTGTTTAGGTGTGAGCAGATCACGCAGGCTGATGTTTTGAACAAATGACAAACAGCCAAACGCTTTGTCAGTGGTGTCTGAAAAGGTGTTTGATGCAACCAGGCACTAATACAGTGTTAGAAAAGCAGCTTGTGCTAAAAACCAAACAACCAAAAAGCATCAGCTGCATTAGTTCAGTGGTTTTCATTATGTCTTTAGTTCCGCCTTCCTCAGAAGACAGAAGTTTCCGCCGAAGAATGTCAAGGTATGTAAAATCCTAACATGTCTGAACTCAACAATGAACTGATTAGATTTTAGCGGTCAAATGTCAAGGTCACTGTGACCTCAAAAAACATGTTTTTGGCCATTCCTCAAGAATTCCTACTCTAATTATGACAAAATTTCACACAGATGTCGAACAGGATAAATGATAAAGTGATGATATTTTATATCCAAAAGATCAACGTCAGTGTGACATCATAATGCTCTGCAGAAACACCTTTCTGGCCATCATTCAACGTCATAACTCAGGAACAAATGGAGAGACACCTGGTCAAATACTGATTTGGTGACACTTATTTTGGGTGCCCACCTTGAAACTGTAGCTTCTCTGCAGAAAGATTCATATTTGAAGGATTGTTTACAGTGAAAACAACCACGAGGTGGTGATTGTAGTTATGTTTGGTATGATTAAATATGCTATAATTAAATTAAATTTCTCCTCAGTCTCAGTTGCAGCAGCAGATCAAAGAAAATGTCACCAACTGTGCATGTTTCATGTTCGTCTTTGATGAGATGTACAAGATGCATCCTGGCTTGATTGACAGCATAAAGCCATACCTGGGGTACCACAGCAAGCTGAATGGTGTTTCCTATCGGAAAGCTATGTTCATCTTCCTCAGGTGAAAAGATGAACACGTTTATCTGACAGATCAGAATTTTATATTGAACAGCACAAAGAGACAATCTGGGCAAGAAAAATTAAAAACATGATAGTGACAATATTAACAGGGCATAGTTTCTGCTGATTGCGTATGTTCTTTGTTTTACTGCATTTGAGATATGTTTGCCCAAACTTTGATGTGCTGAGGCTGAAACACAAACATCAATTCACCACAGAACACAGTTTACACTATCAGAGTCTATATTTTAACCTTCATTTCTAGTGTTCTGATAATTACTTTACAGAAATGCATTAAAATGCTGCTGTTGCTGTATAATACCATTACTTTCAAATCACTTCTTAAAACTAAAAGTCTTTTATTTATGTCAGCCCAAAGTTTCATTTTTCCGTTGTTTATTGTCCTGTTTTTGTCCTATTATATTGTACTTTGGGTGTTTTTATTTCAATCTATTTTATTCACTGTATGCCCTACTATTTTTTATCATCATCAAAATGCCATTAAATCAACAGGGTTGCAAAATCCTGTAATGCATAAAACATGAGCAGCAACATTTTAAGGATATAATTATATATTGTTTTATGTTTGATAAATATAAATTTGGTAGCAATCAGGCTAATTCTGTTTCCTGCTTAAATCCTCCTCCTAGTAACGCTGGAGGGACGAGCATTACACAGACAGCTTTGGATTTCTGGAAAGGAGGATGAGATCGAGAAGAGATTGAGCTAAAAGACCTGGAAACTTTGCTCTCTGTATCAGTATTTAACACCAATTATGGTGAGTAAGCTTATTTTGCCACACAAAAATAGATTCTATTCTTCTACCTTTTTCACTACCGGCAGTATCTCTAAATCTCTTCCAGGTGGCTTGTGGCATTCAAGTTTGATTGACAAGAACCTGGTGGACTTCTTTGTCCCGTTTCTGCCTCTGGAGTACCAACAAGTCATCCAGTGTGTCATGGCTGAGATGAAAGCCAGAGGACTGCGGCCAGACCTGGCTTTGGCGGACCGGGTGGCCAGAGATTTAGAGTATTTCCCCAAAGATGAGGGAGTGTTCTCTGTCCGAGGCTGCAAGACAATATGTAGAAGATTGCACTACTACATAATGTCAGCATCTGATGGACAAATATGAGTATAATGTGCACTTTCTTAAAACAAAAAGAAAGCCGGATGATGCCTTTTTCAGAAAAATGTCTACCCCAGTTTTAATTCACTGTTAAAAAGAAAACAAAAGTTGAGCTCTAAAAATGAATACATGTGTGCTAGTTGGTCTCTGCAGCTTTCAGGTATTACCAATTCTCTCTTTACCAATAATGCCAACTCATCTGTAAGTGTGAAGCATTAAAGGGTTATTTTGCTGATTTTCAACCAGGTCTGTGTCACCGAGGTGTTGAGAGTGTTTGCAGATGAACTGTGTAGGTTTCCAATTAGTGAAGCCATAGCTTGACGCTCTAATCATCCGCTTCATCTTAATCCGCATGTGCAAAAAATCCACCGGCCCACTCAACTACTGTTTACTTCAAAACTCAAAAATGGTACAGAAACAGTCATCCGTTTCCAAATCCACAATTATCCACAAAAAAAGGTTAAAAAAAAAAAGGGATAAAAGATATAAGAGATAGGAGGTCAAAAAAACTGTGCAGCTCCACTCTCACTCTCACTGCAATGAACTCTCTCAAATCCAAAAACTCCCCCTACTGGTAAGAGTGTAAAAAACAATACAATACAATAATAATAATACCCTTATCTTAAAAAACTGCACTCCTAAAAAATGTGTTAAGGCAACCCCTGTGCTGCCAGCTCCTAGAGCTCCTAATTCATCCACCAGCCAAAATCCACCGGATGATGCAAAACATGTCAGTGATGACGCACAGGGCATCATCAGCGATGTAAAATGATGCGTTCCGCGTCATGGATTTCTGCTCAAGGCACAGGTGGGGTGTTCATGGTGCTGCTGGCAAGGGCAGTGCCTCGAAACCGTTCCTATACAAACAGTCTCCACACCTTGGTGACACAGATCTGGTTAATAAGGTCCCTTTAATTAAGAAGCCATGCTGCTGACAAGTGTAGTCAACATTTTATTACAAAAGTAAAAAAAACTGAATAAGTAATCAACAAATCAGCAGTTATCTGATTAATGTGTGTCCATGTATGTCCAGGGCAGGGATTGGTTCAATAATCTGTGTGTAAAAGGAGGTGTTGTAAGAATAATAAAGGTGCTGTGTGGCTTAAAAATGGAAAATCATCATCATATATGTATATGACCATTTAGGTGCGCATAAAATCATTACATAACATTTTGTCTGGATGGGAAATTCATAATGAGACATAAATTCATTGTATGCTAGAAGATGATCTACTGAGTCGATAAGCTGTCCATCATTAAAGGGTCTTGTCTCTGTATGATCTGCCATCTTGCTGATTTCTCATTGTGACATCTCATGTGGTTCTGTGTGATTTAACCAACTTTAAGTCATGCCTCCTTCACGTTAAACCCCTCTCTTACAGTCTGCACACAAACCCCTCTCTCTGTACTGCTTTCTTTCTTTATTGTAGGAGGTGAGCCAACACCCCTGAACAATAAACCATCTCAGCCAACATAAACTTATCTCTAGACAGAGGCTGGCCAGGGGCAATGAAAACACAGCTTTTGTAAGAGTGATCACCTGATCTGGCATGAAAAAACAGAACAAAAAGGAGAGAGTAAAATTTTTATGCGGCCATAAATTTCCAGTTACTCAACACATTAGGTAACATTGTAGTATGTGATTTTAGTGTGTGTGTGTGTGTGTGTGTGTGTGTGTGTGTGAGTCAGGCCTCGCTGCTCAGTCACCGGGTGAGTTCACTGGCTGAAAAAGAGAACGTCAAAAAAAGGAAAAGTGAGGCGTATAGGGAAGAGACCTTGTTTCCTTTTGCCCTGAAGGTAAAGGCAGGTTGAGACGACCCCACCGCTGAGGCATACAGGAAATAGTCACACCCACATAGGCATGTCATTGGCTTTCATCCTGATCGTATGTATTGCTAACGCTCCTCCACTCAAAGAAAAGGATTAGAATTTTCCAGTCCTCCCACGTTTTCAGGGTTTGTCGTCTGTCTTTTGTCTGGAATAACAACTCCATAATCAGAATACATTGCAGCTCTGTAATTTTAAGTTTAGTCATCAGTGGAAATGGGATTTCTGGAAATACAACATCTCAGGGCTGGGAAATTATTGCTTGGAGCCAAATGCAAGTCAAACAGGAGCAGGGAAGCCAAAAACAATTTGAAAAGAACATTTCACTCCAGATGCAACAGGTGATTTAAGCAGACTAACATACGTGCCACACATGCTGTAATCATGATCAGTATGAATGCATGACTGGGCGCTCTGTTGTCTGTCAGCACGTCTAGATGGCTTCCCAGCACCCTGCCCGGCCCCTCAGGATACAACTACAGCACAGCCAAAGGTCTTACATAATAGGTGGAGGAATGCTGGAGCTTTGCCGTGGACTTCTGGATCATCTCACTCTCGCACAAAAGCACACACAAAGTGGGGCCCGGTCCCCTGTAACACCAGAACACACTGTCTCTGCACGACTAGGTGGAGCAAACACAATGATCTCTCTATTAAAAGACAATTTAAGGACTGAATACTGAATTAACACGCATTCAAGTGAACTTGGTTGCATGTGCCAACTGTTTTATTTCCTCCAAAAATGTATATAGGTGTTCAAAAAAAAAAAGCACTGTATACATTACACTGAAAAATAAATATTATTACAATATTAAAAATAGCCTTGAAATGTGTTTTCACAGATAAAATTCTTCCACCAGTTTTGTTCTCTGCCGGTTGTTGCAGAATTCACTCTCAGTCCAAACTCTGTGTTACTTTCTTCTTCCTTAAAATTGACAGTTTCACTCACTCAGTAAAAGCATCACACCTTGTTTTGCTGAGTGATATCAAATCTCTCAACATACCCTCAGCCATCATGCCAGGATTCATTCATGTTTTTGTTGAACATAGTAAGCAAACAAATGTTAACACAACAGATGGAACATCCACACAGGAAACAGATGAAGCCATGGAGGATACAACACCAAACAAATGGTGGTCTGTGTTGTGTGTAAACCCAAAAAGGGCAGGCGGGGATGAACATACAGCACAGCACAGTGTTGGAAAATACTCCAAAGTGGTTTTAACAAAATGTCTACAACTGTCTGTGAGTGAAATTCCATTAGGTCATTTCAACAAAAAGACAAAAATGAGCAACAACCTTCATTTGCTTTTTAAATATTACAGTACAGGATGACAACTTCAAATAACTTTTAAGACATTCTCACATTTCAGAGACGTAAATAGGACGATAACAATACTGACAAAGTCTCTCAAAACCAGGCTGTGGTGTAATCACACACCTTGTATTGCACTCTCACTGACATTCTTGTCTTTTATGTTCTCCCTCCCAGGAGGCCTCTCCGGTATCCTCCTCCTGCTTTCTCTGACCCAGGTCACGGATCGTAACCGCCATCTTTCCAGCCAGAACAACACCTCTAGTTCTCTCTTTGTGGATATTCAGGCATATGCTGCGACCGCCGTGAGGATCTGCAGAGCCATAGAGAAACAAGGTACCTGTGCGACAATGTAGGCCAGAGAGCGAGTCGGTGCTCGCAGGGCCAACAGGTAGGCGATGCTGTGCAGCACACGACCCATGAAGAAGACAAGGAAGTGAAGGCGGGCCACAGCCAGTGAGGGTCCAGTCATGGAGTAGATAGCACCCAGGAAGAGGAAGGGGAGGATGTTCTCCATGTCATTAAAATGAGCTCTATAGGAGAAAAAAAAAGAATGAGTTAGTCACAAGTGTGTACGTGTATGCACACACACAGCTGTTTTCAATATCCTGCAATGTTGTGATTCAGCTATGATGCAGTGAAGGGATGGCATAGTATAAAGTATTTCTCAATAACACATTTCAGTGATTTCAGTTCTGGATAATGTTGTGGTTTCTTCTGCATTTTTCTTGGAGAGTTGGTAATCTGACGACCCACTGAATTCAACTGATGAGTCACATTAATGAAAAATTACAGAATCCAAACTGTTAGATGAATTCTGTAATTTCTCATTAAGGTGACTCATCAGTTGAATTCAGTCTGGGAAAGCAGCAAGTGTCTGTGACTTTCTCCTGTTGGCAGCCCAGTCAGACTGCTTATCAGCCACACTATTTTCCTGCCTCATGTCCACCCACTGGAATCAACTTTTGAATAATATTATTCAAAAGTTGATCCCAGTGGGTGGACTTTTGAATAATATTATTCAGGGAACCTGCCCTGTAAAAAGTTCTTGCAGTAACAGCACATTAAAAGCAGGTTACGAGGCTTGTAGACTATTCAAGTCCATCATGTTGTAAAAACTCACGAACATATATACACAACCGAGCCAGATCTCTAGATTTATATCAGGATTTGTCTGTAACTGTCAATACACAGTTTCCCATCAAAAGTGAAGGGATGGTCCAGGATACACAGACGAGGGGAAAGTTTTTACTAGTAGAAAAACACTGGCTGTCCTCACTGCTGCCGCAGATCATATTCTGGACAAGTTAAAACAAAGCAGTGAAGCACATTCATTACAGGCTGCCAGCTCTTGTTGAAAACCAACAGAGGGAATCGCATGATCTCACTGAAGAGTTGCATCTAAAGGGAAAATTTCACTGGAAGGAAAAAGCTTAATTAACAATAATAATAATAATAATAATAATAATAATAATAAGCACTTCCAGGAACTATTTTTGGCACGTGCAGGTCTATAAAATGTTAAGTACCCAGCCACAGATACCTCAGAAGCCTCTAATAAACCTGTGAACACATAACCTTTTAACCTTTTAACATCAACTATTGCTAACCAGATACACAGTGACAAAATTTAGCAACATCCTGATGTGGAAACTGCAGGCAAGAAGTGTATAGAAGTTATGATGCTAACAGTGATGGAAAGTACATTTACTCAAGTACTGTACTGTAACTAGAAATATTGAGGTTTTTTACATGAGGTTTTTCAGGTCATGGGAGAGATGGTGGCAGGTGGGGGGCAGGCAGGGGTGAGACGTCCAGAAAATGACGAACATAAGCGAAATGGTGGAGTGGAGTGTATGTGGAGAGCTTTAAAGTGAACATGAAAAGGTAAAAACCACCTGGGGTGCTGTATGAATACAAAAATTTGCAAATGTGGACATAGCCTATTCTCTTATTGTTTGTTATTTATTGTTATTTTTTTGTTGGCAAGGTTGTTGATTTGTAATTACCTCTTGTTGTAGTTAGTAATAAATACAATTAATAAACATTAATGATGATGATGATAATAATAATAATAATGCCTAGGGCGCCAATTATGCTAGGTCCAGCAGCTAGTAAATTGGGATTTTAGGTAAAACATGATGCATTGTCATGGAGTTACTTGTCATGGAGTTAAGACAAGTAATAGTACTAATAAAATGCTACTAAAGTATGAGTGCATCACTATTTTAAAAGATCCAATATAGGATCAAGTATTTTCCTGTGCTGAGTACCATATTTTATACTTTTAAGTACATTTTGCTGTCGTACTTTCACTTGTAATGCAGTATTTTTTACATTGTGGTATTTTTACTTAAGTAGCCTAAATACTTCCTTCACTGTGTGCTGCAGTAAAAGTGGATAACCCAGTCAAAATATAACTGACTGTGTGGTCTCTGATCTGACAGCAGGCTATTTCTACAAAATAAAGCCATGTCGTGATAGTGCCAGTTTCTGTACATACCTCCGGCATCTTTCCACGTCGGGATCCTCTCTGTGGAACTGTAAACCTCCGTGTCTCAGTGCGTCCTCAGGGTTGGCAAATGCCTTTCAGGAAAGAAAAAAAACTTTGGATCAGTGAACATTTCTTGGTTAAATTAATTATGAAATGATGTTGCTTTCTCGGCTTTGATCCTTCTTTCTAATCCATAGTAACTCACCTTTTTGCGCAGCCTTACTTGTCCCGTTATTATCGCTATCACGTACATTTTGATCACCAGAAGCACTCCGTAGAAAACAAAACAGGAGAAAACCTCATTTCTTATCATGACTGCCATGGCTTGGCTTTCTTTAATGATCCAAAGTGAGCTGCACTGAAATGGAAGAGGAGCTCTGAGGTTGGTGCGTGCGAGCGTAAAGCTGCTAAAAATGAGAGTGAGACGGACGGAGGGGGAAGCTGTTATGTACTGTTGGTGATGCCTCCACCCACTCACTTAAATCACGGTGGCAGGTTAAGCGGAATGTTTCATTCATAATTCTGTGAATTCCAGACTGAACATTCAAATTTCTTGGCACGCCAAATTTGGAGCCCTGAGGGTATGGCCTACTTAAAGAGTCACATAGGCAATGGTGGAAGTATTCAGATCTTTCACTTCATTAACTTATAAGTACTATTTAAGTAGCCTATTAGCTAGACCAGACCTTGTATTTTTTTTTTTTTTTTTTTTGAGTATTTAGAGATTTTTTACTTCAACTTATGTACCACTTATATGGTTATGTTAGCATTATTGCAACTCACTTGTAAAAAAAAAAAAAAGTTGCATCTATTTGATTCTAATTAACTGCACCGCCCGCTACTACGCCTTGTGACATAAATCAAACACACCCATCTTTTTTTGCGTCACCAACAGGTGCGCGCGCTCCATGAGCACGTTCAGCTCTGTCTGGCTAACATGCTAAATGCTAACAAGCTAATGGTGGCTTTGGCTTCTGTGTTTACAGAGGAACTTTTACCCTTAGTGAGGTGGTTTTGGACTTTCAGCAGTTTTTGACCGCTAATGTGGGACACAGAGGCCGAGTGGACTGGTTATACTGGGACAAGGAGGCCGAGTGGACTGGTTATACTGGGATTGTGAGGAGGCTGAGTGAACTGTTATTTTAGGCTATGCCTTGACCAAGAGAAGTTGAACTTGTCTGGAGCAGATTGAAGAGGACTTCATGGTACTCAAGACTCAGACTGACGTTCAAACAGGTGGGCACAACAACAAAGTCAGTCAGTATTGTAAGCAAGCAAATAACGACAAGTAAATAACAACAACAAAGGCCAGCTGTGGAGTTTATACTGATTATACAGTTATTGTTTTGTCTACTTTGGTGATGTTTTATATGCTGTTAATCCTGTAAGAAGTGTCACGTTACTGAATTTGTGTGGCTTAACACTGCTTGTTGTGTCACCCACCATGGTAAGATCTTTTTATTTATTGTAGGTTAGTGTAATTGTCTGAGTTTTGTCTCTTGTATATTTATAATTAATAGTACTGGCTGCCCTATATTATAATATTTAGAAAGGGCTCATTTTCTCCACTATAATTGCCGAATTCCACAACAAATAGCCTATGCAGGGCTTCCCTGATTTAATTCAGCATTTTCCCACATAGTTTAATGTTGCATTTAAGATATAGCCCATGTGACGCGCATATCCAAATACTTATAAAGTAGGTTATTCTAGGTTGTAATTGGCTATCAGTTTTATGTGAATGAATGAAGCTTGACGCCCTTTCTAAATACACTGCTCAAAAAAATAAAGGGAACACTTAAACAACACAATGTAACTCCAAGTCAGTCACACTTCTGTGAAATCAAACTGTCCACTTAAGAAGCAACACTGATTGACAATCAATTTCACATGCTGTTGTGCAAATGGAATAGACAACAGGTGGAAATTATAGGCAATTAGCAAGACACCCCCAATAAAGGAGTGGTTCTGCAGGTGGTGACCACAGACCACTTCTCAGTTCCTATGCTTTCTGGCTGATGTTTTGGTCACTTTTGAATGCTGGCGGTGCTTTCACTCTAGTGGTAGCATGAGACGGAGTCTACAACCCACACAAGTGGCTCAGGTAGTGCAGCTCATCCAGGATGGCACATCAATGCGAGCTGTGGCAAGAAGGTTTGCTGTGTCTGTCAGCGTAGTGTCCAGAGCATGGAGGTGCTACCAGGAGACAGGCCAGTACATCAGGAGACGTGGAGGAGGCCGTAGGAGGGCAACAACCCAGCAGCAGGACCGCTACCTCCGCCTTTGTGCAAGGAGGAACAGGAGGAGCACTGCCAGAGCCCTGCAAAATGACCTCCAGCAGGCCACAAATGTGCATGTGTCTGCTAAAACGGTCAGAAACAGACTCCATGAGGGTGGTATGAGGGCCCGACGTCCACAGGTGGAGGTTGTGCTTACAGCCCAACACCGTGCAGGACGTTTGGCATTTGCCAGAGAACACCAAGATTGGCAAATTCGCCACTGGCGCCCTGTGCTCTTCACAGATGAAAGCAGGTTCACACTGAGCACATGTGACAGATGTGACAGAGTCTGGAGACGCCGCGGAGAACGTTCTGCTGCCTGCAACATCCTCCAGCATGACCGGTTTGGCAGTGGGTCAGTAATGGTATGGGGTGGCATTTCTTTGGGGCGCCGCACAGCCCTCCATGTGCTCACCAGAGATAGCCTGACTGCCATTAGGTACAGAGATGAGATCCTCAGACCCATTGTGAGACCATATGCTGGTGCGGTTGGCCCTGGGTTCCTCCTAATGCAAGACAATGCTAGACCTCATGTGGCTGGAGTGTGTCAGCACTTCCTGCAAGACGAAGGCATTGATGCTATGGACTGGCCCGCCCGTTCCCCAGACCTGAATCCAATTGAGCACATCTGGGACATCATGTCTCGCTCCATCCACCAACGCCACGTTGCACCACAGACTGTCCAGGAGTTGGCGGATGCTTTAGTCCAGGTCTGGGAGGAGATCCCTCAGGAGACCATCCGCCACCTCATCAGGAGCATGCCCAGGCGTTGTAGGGAGGTCATACAGGCACGTGGAGGCCACACACACTACTGAGCCTCATTTTGACTTGTTTTAAGGACATTACATCAAAGTTGGATCAGCCTGTAGTGTGTTTTTCCACTTTAATTTTGAGTGTGACTCCAAATCCAGACCTCCATGGGTTAATAAATTTGATTTCCATTGATAATTTTTGTGTGATTTTGTTGTCAGCACATTCAACTATGTAAAGAACAAAGTATTTAATAAGAATTTTTCATTCATTCAGATCTGGGATGTGTTATTTTAGTGTTCCCTTTATTTTTTTGAGCAGTGTATATGTGACTCTTGGAGAGCGTTGTCTGCGCCTTTGGGCATTGAATCATGCGATCACATGAGGTAAGTGCATTTTTCTTTCGCGTTTCAGGGGGGAACATCGGACCCGGGGAACATAGGACCCTTTTTTTTGGAAAAGTGGGGAACATTGGACCCGTTTTCGGAAAAGGGTCCTATGTGCCCTGGTTGCAGAACATAGGGGGGAACATAGGACCTGGGGAATATAGGACCCGGGAACATAGGGATGACCCCGTTCTGTTTACTTAAAAGTAATTAGTAACTACAGCTGTCAGATGACTGTAGTGAAGTAAAACAGCACAATATTTCCCTCTAATGCAGTATGAAATGTAAATACGAAAGTGTACAGTAGGGATGCACCGATCCACATTTTTTCACTTCCGATCCGATCCCGATACCTGAATTTGGATATCTGCCGATACTGATACTAGCTCTGTTTACTTTAATATTATTATTATCATTATTGTTGATTTTATATGAGGCTGTAATAAACTCCTCTCTACAGGCAAGTATGCTATGTACATATGTATGCATGTATGTCCCAAAAGGCAAGTTGAGGTAAGTATAAGGTCAGAAAAGCAGGAAATCCTGTTCACAGGAAAAATCCCATCGTGAAAACAAATATGCAACTGTAAGGGTTTCAGATTGATTGTCAACATTTATTAAATTCCAAGACAGTGTTAAACTACTAGTACAATATACACTATCAAAAAACAAAAAGTACCTGTCATATTAATCTGAACAGCACAGATACAAATCAAGTAGACACTACTATGTAGTAGTTTTGTCACGGTAGCAAAATTGGGACCCACTGTACGATACCAGTGAAAGTATCATGGTTCTGAGTAGTATCACGATACCACAGCGAAAATGAGGCAGATGTGCCTTTTGTCATTTATAAAAAGATAAATCACTTTTCTATAATACATCAATGATATTTCAATGGAATAAATTACTTATTGACTTATTCATACTTCAAAAATGGCATCAATAAGTGATTAACATAGGGGGGATCAAAATAAAATAAATAAATAAAATAAAAATCAACCAGCCACCCTCCCCCCCTGATGGTCCTTTCATAAGTAAAGAACAGTCCCTTCATAAGTAACGAACGGTCCCTAAAGTGCGGTGAGGTTTGTGAACCGTTCCCTGCCACGGAGAGAAATGTGAACGGCTCGTTTCTCCTCTGACACATCACATACCTGTGTGCCGCCACAGTTCGGCTGTTCAGGTACTTTTGGGCAGTCATGACGCCAAGAAGAGGACATTATTAGACCTGGAGTCAGACTTCAGAGCTGTCGCCGGTAAGTCGTTCTTGCGCCGCGCAGCACTATGAGCCTCCGCCGTATTTGACAGGAAAGCATTCCCCTCTGTGTCTGTGACCCCCGTTCAACCCACAACCGGCAGGATTTGCCTTTAGTTTCTGCTGCTGGTTGAAATCTGTACTGGCACAGCTGAATGATTTATTTTGCACGCACAAAACTATTTTTAGTCGCAAATGGCAGTAAAATGCTCGCACGTAGAGCTCTGTAGTGGAAAACAAATCACTGTAGCATATATAAACAAATCGAACCTACAAGTAAAAATAAATTAATAATAACTTTCACAGCTTAAAGATACTCAATAGCTCAGTTCATACCTGAAATGTCACTGGATACAAACCACTGCAGCGGCATATCGAGTGCCAGGTGGACAGCGCCGCCGTTATTGGACGCCGCATGGACACTCACGCTCTTGCGATTGGACTTTGATCTTATCCCACAGTAGTGGTACCTGAGGTACCGTAGTACTGCAGCTGTTCGGAATAGAATGATTTTATGTGTGTTACTATAAATTGTGTTTCACTATATAAGTTTTAGATGTGTGAACAATGAGAATACTGAGATGATTTCAGCTGATCTGAATGTGTTTGCTTTGCAGAAGTGGAGAAGTACAGGAGAGGAAGAGACATGAAGTCTGAGGAGCACGTACCGCAATGCTTAGATAATTAGTTTCATATATGGTAAAAAGAATAGAAAGTGATATACAGATAGTAAGGTACAGCACGTGTAGGGAGTTGTGTTGTTCT